TGTCCTCTACGTTATTACATTCAGTGGGCCGGTTACGAAGGAACCGACGATGAGTTCTCTTGGGTTACTGCTGATGAATTACATGCTGACGAACTTGTACCGGCATTCCACGCCCGATATCCTCACAAACCTGGACCTTGATCACACAAAAACATTTTATTCCTTTTTCCCCATTTCTGCCGTGCTCCGCCAAAGTTTACTTCGTGTGTTTAGAGGGTAAACACGGTGATAGTAAATTGAGTGTTTACCTCTCTCTCTTATTTGCTTATTGCGGGTTCCTTAATTTAAGATTTCATTTAGCTTCCATTTACACTTATACTACTTATACTAAACTAATTACTTCTTACGCCGCTTTGCGGCCCATTCGCTTTCCGAGTTTAAAAGAAAACGCGATAACATTTTTTTTTATATACAAAGTCAAAAAACAAAAAAGTCTACAACAAAGGCAGGGATACAAAAAGGTTACAAAAGGATGGCCGAAGGCTGAAGTCCGATGTCCGTTAATCTACTTCTACCACCTCCTTCTCCTTTCCCTTCTCAGAGGCCGCCGTCTTCGCCTTCTTCGGCACCGGCGCCTCTCCTTCTTTCTCTTCCTCCTCTACCTCCTCTTCCCCTTCTCCATCCTTCTCTCCCTCTCTTTCTTCTTTTTCTTCCTCCTCGCTGTTCTCTATCACCCGTCTCCGCTTCAAGTTCCTTGGCCGATCGGAGACCGACCTCGACGGCCCTAGTGTCGCCGGCTCCCTCATAGCGTCTCTAGTGTCTGGCAATAAGCCGCGCGTGGTCTTCGTCCTGACGACGCAGGAGTTGCCTGAGGTATTGATGCGACCTCGAGGTTGCTTCCCTCAAGGCCCGGTTGTCCGCTAGGAGCTGAGCCAGTTGGCTCTCCATTACGGCCATCCATTTGCCGCTCGGTCCTCCTTCCCGCTTCACCTGCATCGGCCGCCCGGAATATGAGCATTTGACTTTTGCATCGTGACATGCCTTGCATATCATGGTGCTCCGTTTGTCCACCTGTTCCAGGCAGGGGATTTTCTTCATTTGGCACCGTTTGCATGGCACCCGCTCTTCGTCGTCATCGTCATCATCGTCTCCACCATCATCCGGATCTCCGCCGCTAGCCTAAAAAGTTAGAGTTAGTAAATCGGTGATGGTGTTGTATGGATTACACACCTCCATCCTTTGTTTACCTTTGCCCTTCTTGACCACCCGAGGGATTTCTACTTCCACTCGACGAGCGGAAGTAGACGCCTCCCCAGGCGAAGAGCCCTGACGATGTCGCGCCGCTGCTATCCTTCTCCTCTTCTCTGCTGCCTCCTCCTCTAACCTTCGGGCAACAGCGGCCCGGGCGGCAGCCTCCTGTCTCTCTTTCTCCTCTTCCGCCTTCCGCCTAGCCTCTTCCTCTGCCTTTTTCTTCTCCTCCTTCCTCCTCCTGTTCTTCTCTCGGGTACGCTCCAATTGGAGTTCTAACTCCCGCTCTTCGTCAGATGGGTCCGGCGTTGAAGGGCGAGTTGGGGCCGGGGGCGAAGTTGGATGGGCGCCGGTGACCAGAATCGAGCCGACGGTAGTGGTGGTTCTGGTGGTAGTGCGACTAGAGGACATGTGTGGACTTGGAGTTTTGGAAACTTGGCCATAGCGGCAAAACCTGGCCCTTCTTATAGGGACAAAACTGCGCACAGACCAACGAAAATTTTTCTTCGAGTTGTACTCGGTTTACGGTGCACCGAAAATTTCTTGGATGACTAACGACAATTCCCGGTACCAATGGTTTTCGAAAAATTTCCCTGCTGACTGATAGGCCAAATTCCCGATGCTGACGGCCTTTAAAATTTTCCTTTGTGGACTAATCAACTCCCGGTATTAATGGCTTTCGAGGGCTCAAGCCTAAGAGGGGAATACTGTCAAGTCCATGCCTCGGGCCTCCATTCCGCCGCTCGGTATTCCAAAGATCCACCTTTATTGTAATCTTTCCTTATTGTTCTTTCTCGCTACACATACCCTTTCATTCTAGTCCCTCCTTATTGTCTTTTACTTTACCCTGCAGGACTACATGTATAACTCCTAGTAGCTAGTCTGGCGCTCCGCACCGTTGCGCCGCTCCGTAGATATAAATACTGCTTGTATGCTACTGTAGTTCCTCAGTTTAATTATCAACTTAGATCTCCCTTCTCTACTTAGCTCTTCTCTAAGTCTTCAGGCTCAACGCCTTGAAGTACGTCCTACTCGACCTTAGCACTTGAATGTTCTCTGGTCCGCTCCTCGTCATCGGCGATACCGCCACTCCGACCTGGCTGCTACTTAGCTCCTCCCTCTATACTTTCGATCTCCGGGGACTAACGGCGTAACGGCGGTGTTGTTAATAACTTCACTACTGTCCCACTCGTCTTCCGCACTTAGACACCTTGTGGCTTTGGCACGGTTACATGGTGTACATGATCTTAACAGAAGCAATAAATCAAAGAATTCTTCGCATTTCTTCCAACTATAAGGTCCACGACTGCCATATCTCGAGCTACATTGAGCATCCTTATCTTTGGAAAGTGCTATCTTCAAAATAGCAAGAGCTACGAGTTCTTCTTTGCTGTCGTTGGCATCACTGAGCAATAAAATGGCAAGAGTTTTGAGGTCAGCAGCTGCACGAGCAAGATGTTCCAGAGATCTATGTGGCTGTCGGCAGTGGCAGCGTGCCATAGATGATCATTAGAGGTAGAACGTGTTCGTCAATAAGTGGCACTTCGCTCAGCTCGATGGCTTACGGATCTGATTGATGGATTTCCCAAATGGGCTTGCGGCACGCTAGCCGATATTAGTCTCGAAATTTCACTCGAAAAAAAAACTCTTAATTGAGTTGGACTACTATGCATAGCTCCCTTGATAGAGTATAGGCACAATGGGTGTCTATTGAAAGAGAGAAGCAATTAGTTTAACCCAGATGAATCAGATTAATAGGATTAGAATTGAGGAGAGCTGATTTGCCTCCAGACGAGGTGACAAATGATCGAAGTAAGTGTTGAACAGCAATGACAGCTGAACACCATTCGAGTCATTCTCCAAAACAATTAAATTACATGAATATTGAAGTACCTACCTATGTTTGGAGGTATACTAGAATCTTGGAACCATTATGGACCAAATAAGGACATGTAGATTCAAATTAAATGGTATCTGACCAATTGTAGAAGTTTCCTTGTGGTTCCAAACGTTTATTTTATTAAATTAATTGTACTGTGCGACTCTATATCCTGTATGTATAAATAGCGATCCGATGTATCTGGAATACAAGTGATTTTGGGACAACGTTGCAGTGCTAATCCGTAAAAAGGAAAGACACACTCCCGCCAGACTGAAACCTCTTTGCTAGCAGCCATTCGGGCCCGGCACTTGTGAGTATAGGAACATTGTGTTCTGCTCCTTGTGACTGCAAGAAGTATATCCAGTTGTTGGGTATTCTTCAAACTTAGGATCAGTCATTGGTCTTAAGGGCAAATCACGCTGTGTGGTTGTGCCAGCACATAGTTCTACCCCTCTGTAGGGGTCTGTGTGTTTTGGTTTTTAATTTACTTTGTTTCAAACCCCCAATTCTTGATATACCCATATCAATACAATCAAAGCACAAATTGTGCTGAATCTTGTTGACTGATAAGTACTCAGTTAGTTAGGAAACAACTGTATTGTGTACCTGTTGACTGATAAGTACTACATGTACCGTGAGTATGTAGAATACAGGTAAGTAGTCATTGGGCTCACCTCAGTTAGTTAGGAAACAACTGAGGGAGCCCGTGTCCGTCGTCCGCAGGTAATGATAAACTGTACAGTGTGTATGTAATCCTGTGGACGGAGGCAAAATGGTACACTGCCTGTATTGACTGTGCATACGCCGTGCGGAGATGGAGTCTAACAAATCTACCTTAATCAAAGGAATATACTGAATCCTTAGAACAATTCAAATTGATTGATTGAAGCTTCTTACTTAGCTCTCAAAGCTTTGCGGAACCTTTGCCAATGCTACCCCTTGCTATTAAATAAATTTGATAGCAGTGAACTCGCATATTGTGTATTAGATTGGTTGGTTGGAGTGCCCATTTGATTCCTTCCTTTCTCTTTCACACAAAAATGAGGCAAGCTTATTAGCGGGGATACTGGTACCCTCTGTTTCAGTCACCCATACCAACATTCCAATTGGGCCAGAGGAACAAAGACATTCAATCACATTCTTTACTGCTGCAGGGATTCTATGCTGGTATTTTAATGGGTTTATGAATAACAATGAATTCCTCAGTCAGGCTTCTGACTCACAAAAGAAGAATTGGACTCAATATCAGACGGATTTGTGGAAGTTTGGACTTGATATGCTAAGCAGTAATGAACCATAGTATCAGTATATAGTATGGTAGGTTAAATGCAGTTTTTTTTGTTATATGGGTAAAGAAGTGTGAGTATTTGATAGGTGGTGATGCACGCATAAAATCCAGATCTGAGCTTCAAGAACAATTTACAGGGATGGTCTTGCATGAATAATTCTATTAAAATTTTCACAGAGTACATGATGTACTCTAATATATGTATCTGAGTTATTGAGGCCAGGGGAGCAAAATTGCTTGGTAGAAACACTTCAAACAAAGTTAAGATATATCTACATGTGCGAAAATCCCTATACATACCCACATCATTTTTCACACTTTTTTGAATACAATAAATTTGGAAGATAGGAAAGTGTCTTTAATCCAAGCTGATATATCTCAAAATATATCTCTTATATTTCAAGATTGGCTAATAAAGAATATCTTGCATAATTGACAAAATATTGTGAATCAGACTTACAGTAAAAGTCTTTGATGAAGAGTTTCCCACAGTTGATTTACTGTGCTCCTATACATTGTTCTACCAACTCTGTATGTCATGGTCTCCGTTAAACAAAAACCTCTTCATGCTGAACTGCCACCAACATGTCCACGACTTTCAGTATCAAAGCAAACCAATGAACAGAGAGCCATTAAAAAGGAATGCCAGAGGATTGGAAGGACTATGGCATCCAGCAGGTATTGATGAAGGTAAGAAGTCATTCACCTAATTTCTCTTATAACCTTTATTAATTAAAACATCAGGCAGGGTGAAGCAGGAAGGGTGAGAAACCAAATTCGGATGGCACAGAAAAGAGCTGGGATGACAGAGGAGGAAAAAGCTGAGAGTAAGAACACCCAAAAGGAAGCTGCTGCTGCTTCGTATCTCAGGTATGTGGTTATCTGTTATATTGCTCTCCTCAATTCAATACTTTATAGAAACAGGAAAACTATCCTTTGGAAAGCACAGGACAAGTGGATCTCAGAGTTTGTTGAAAAGATCAGACACCCAAATGCTGATCTATGGTATCCTTACCATCATAATACCTACTGTGTCAGAACAGAAGCTGGCATCTTCACCAATCCCCATATTTACCTTTAAATGGTCTATTGAATTTTACAACTGCCAACTGGGAAATAGGGGAGAACAAATTGGATTGAGGTACAATGGCAGGCGCATAGCAGGTACGATCGCAGCCATATATGTATCATAATTTAGTTAAGGCCCCATGATTTTTCCTTTGGAAGCTTCATTGTCTTACCCTCCCTTTCCAATGCAAGAAACATCTGCTGGGTGTCATAGGCAGTTCTGATATGAACAATGACCTTGCCACCATGCCAATGAAGCCCTTGTTTCATGAGGGTACTAAAAGTATTCTTGAGTGTCAGTGATGTATAGAGGAAATAGAACATATTGTCGATTATATATCCCTGGATTCTCACCTTTGATAAGGATGAAGTTCTCCTTGGGCGACGACAATGTCTTGAAGATGTCAAGGACTTCGGGTTGTTTACATTCTTTGTATGCTTTTGCTGCAAGCTTGTAGTCATTAAATGACCTGTAGACTGCATCAGCAAAGTCAGTGGTCAGTTTGAGAGCACCAGTTGCTCCATAGGACCTGCGCCATTCAAAGTAAAGCCCACTGGTGCCATTCCGACCATAATATACCACATAGGTTTTTTCACCTGCTTTACTAAATTTCCGTGCCCTTTGTGCTTTGATCTCTGCCACACCAACACCCCCTGGGCCAGGTAAAGGCTCATCCTCATTGCTACTAACCTCTGGGGCACTCACAGGCACCCAGCAGTCATCACCCAGATCCTCTGAATTCTCCAAATCCTTAGAATTCTCAGGATAGCCTGCCTCTTCATCTGAGGAAATCCATACAAGGTTGGAAGGAATGGAGGAACTGGAGTCTTGAGGTACAGACTGACAATACCCATGGCTGTTTGAGGCAGGAGTAGGGGGGTGAGAACCTTCTTGGAATAGGTCTAGGTAGACAATGGACTAGACTGGTGAGGCTGGTGGCTGGTGGAGGTAGGAAGAGGGGGGCAATAATCGCGGTGGGAGATTGACAGTGAAGTAAAGTGTTGGACCTTCTAAAGACTGGTCGGGGTTAATAGAGTACTAGACTTGCAAGGTTGATGACTAGTGGGGGAGGGAAGAGGGGGGTCATGATCACTACGGGAGGTTGAGGTTGCCAGTAAAATGATGTGGTGAACCCTCTGGGAATGGGTTGGGGTTGATGGCAAGCTGGTAAGCCTTCGCAGCTCTTCTGAAGGATTGACAAACCTCAGTGAATTGGTTGAAATGATAAATAGATGATGCACCAATGTTCTGTTCCACATTATTGAGCTGCTCCCCAAGCTGGGCACTGGCAGCTTGAACCACAACTTCAGCTTCCCACAAGACCTTATTCTGCATACCAACCTCTATACCTAGTTAGCTAGTTCAGTATTTTGAGGCATACAAAGAATGCACCCTGGATATCCTTCTCCAACAATGCTACCAGAATTTCATGGTCTATGAACGGAATGTGGGGCACCAGAAGGTCTTGTAGAAGAAGTGGAATGAGATGGTGTTGTTGGTGCTGTCCTAAAAGTTCAATATTGATGAGCAGCAACTTTCATGTAAACCTTACCAGACATTGAGTAGATTTATCCATGATCTTTGTGATATTGATGAAATCAATTTGCAAGATGAAAGAGAGTGGAGAGAGAATGAACCAGGATCTGAAATCGATTTCTATGAGTGCACGTGCTTATTGACCAGCCCTCAACACATTGTTGACTGGTTTTGAAATATGACTTTGACGAAGTCTGAGCTACATGCAAAGTTAATGAGTTACTATGTCAAATCACAGCTTTTAGCATCAACTTCCCTCACTGCATCCTCCTCCCTTCCTGTATCTGCAGTATCACAGTAACAACTGTGAGGCCTGGCACAAAAGGCCTGCTCTCATCCTATCTGGACTGGGCCTAAGCAAGCAGGACAGCTGCCTAGGCCGTACAAGGGGAGATGGGATAAGTGCCGCTGTAAGACCTGGGTCAGAATGGGTCTTAAGGTAGGGTTTGGTATATGAGGGTTTATGTTGTAGCGTGCTAGGAGCAGGCTGGAGCTCGAAGGGAGCTACGAGAACCATGACCAAGGACGGGAATGACCTAGTAGTGGCTGGAATGACGAGATGATGACCCTTGAGGGGGTTCCTAGGAGGTCCAGGGAGGTCCCTAAGGCGTAGGGAGGTTAAGGAAGAGTGTGGGACCATACAATATTGCATAGTAGGAGTTGTACTTGCTAGAACATCAATATAGGATCGAGTAGGTTGTATATGTAACTGGGTCTCGAGGGTATAAGCTCCCGAGAAGGGATATGCCAGGGAGGGTAGGTCAGATGGTGACCCTTGAGGGGGTTCCTAGGAAGTCCAGGGAGGTTAGGTAAAAGTACGGGACCTTGTAATATTGCGTAGTAGGAGTTGTACTCGCTAGAACGTCAATATAGGATCAAGTAGGTCATAGATGGAAATGGGTCTTGAGGGTGTAATATACGCCCGGGAGGGTAGGTCCCTGGGGACTGGGCTTGAGGATGGACGTCCTCAAGTATTGGAGGTGGTAACGGAGAAGCAATACGTAGTTCGACATTACTTAGATCGAGGTCCCAAAGCTTACGAAGTAGCTAGGGAGCTCTGGGAGGTTTGGGGAAGGGTAACTCACCAAAGCGTTTAGGCATTGGGGAGCTTTAGTAATGTTCCAGGGAGCTCGGAGACTCACTCGGATGGCTTAGACTTGAAGTAAAAGTGTATATTCGATCGTATAGACAATTAGAGAGACAATAGATGAGAGTAAAGAGAAACAGAGATAGAGAAACAGAGAGTAAAGAGAAATCCGTATGGTTAGCAGGTACAAAGAGACAGGGACTGGACCTATGCAAAAGGGTGTGTGTTTAAAATATACCAAGCTGGGGCTTGGGACGTTGCGACGCTACTTAAATAGGTACGGGAAGTGAACAAGAGAATATCTGGAGGGCATGAAGCAACTAATCGAGGGATGAAAGTAATCGAGATTAGTACTTAATGGGGTTGGCGGTTAGGAGGGTTTTGTATGCATGTCGGAGTGGTCGCGAGGACATTTAGGTAGATATATCAGGGCAATGGGTCTTGGGGAGGTGCATGGTGGTGGAGGTGCGTGGTGGTACTTGGGGAGGTGCAGAGGTAGGTAAGAAGTGTGACGACGTGTGGCTGGTACTGGTTGTAGCCAGGGCATGACAGCCGCTACTGGTGTAGGAAGCCTGACCAGTAGTAGTTGCGGAGCTTAGGTGGACCTAGCCAAAGGTCCTGGAGTGGGGGAAGGAGGTGTAGTTGGTGAGGATGGAGGTGGTTGGGGATGTGAAGCCTTGACGTAGACTGTAAGTCATAGGAGAGGCTTAGGAAGTTGAGAGAGGTGTTCAGAGAGGTGAGATAGAGAAGAGAAACAGAGGTGAAGGAAACAGAGTTGAGGGAAACAGATAAAGAGGAAATGTATGACAGGTGAGACGTGTCAGGCCCTGTTAGCAAGTATAAGTAGACTGTACTAACAGGGACCAAGCCAGGTTGGAAGAGTTTCCAGATAAGATTTGACAATAACACGCTAAGGAGCTCCGAGGGGAGTCCCCATCCTCTATACTATACATGTGACAGCCATGTGGCATATTACATAATGGTAAAAGCGGACAAGGGGAGCTCTGGGTATACAGTGGGGAGATATAGGAAGGTGGTAAGGAGGAATATGATAGGTAAGGAAGCAAAATCAGGCAAGGCATGACAACAACCTGCTCCAAAATTCAGGAAATAATAACTTGTATGGCCATTACTCTCCAACTTCTCAAGGAACAGATATTGCATGTTCTGTACCCCCATCTCTGGCTAATATACACATGAACTCAAATTGATCACTCACACCTGGTTTTCCAACCTCACACAAGGAGTTTCCTGCTTCTCTTCCTCCAAGAGCAGGTATCTTTAACCACCAACCGCTGCCTGGTCTTTTTGGAAAATATCAGCAGATAATGGCCAGTATACTACAGAAGGCTTTCATTCTAGTCAATTGAATGACCATGAGTCTTGAGGGCTCCATAGTGTTGAAGTTGAAACACACTGGAGTGCCCTTCAGCTAACCCAAGCAGTATGCCGCCCAGCTCAGTGCACAGAATGTCAATGCCTTAATACAAGACTAGTAGGTTGGACTACAAGCCTTATAGTTGCTCAGTACTCCAATAAACACTGTAGATATGACAGAAGTCAATATAGAGTGAGGATTGATTTGTATCTTTCAACTGTAGTAGGAATACAGGTTTGTTTGGTCTTGGATGTACTCTAAATGCATGAGGCGTGATAATGGGTGTCCACAATTGTGTGCATCTATGAAAACTAACTACAGTAACACTAAAGAAATAGCTAAGTTATAAGTTGTAAAACTAAGTAATGATGTCTGTAAGTACTTTATACACTAAGTAAGACACTACAGTGATAACTAGGAGTGATGAAGCGCTGTGTAATGTATGTAGAAAGTGTTTCATCACTACAGTATGCTCAACACATAGATAGAGGGTTTCTTCAGAAACTTAGCTTGGTCCTCTCAAATGGCAGCAACCCATGGTTTGTACCAACATAGATGCATCAAGACTCTACTCTCCAGTCCCCATCCCATCACCTCATCCACCTACACCCCCTCCTACTCAGAATTCTGGACAAACTTATGGCCCAACCTATAATCATCGAGTTGTATCTATCCTCAATGGTGAAGTAGACTCAGCATTGTCTTGCCCTGTTGCACAACTCTTCCCCCAATACCTCCGCCAGGTCTTCCCCCAATATCTTTACCAGGTCTTCCCCCAATTCTCTTGCCAAGTCTTCCTACATCTCCTTCACCAAGTCTTTCCCCAATTCCCTCACCAGGTCCTTCTCAAAGATCTCAGCTGCAGGATACTTCGACATCGAACTTGAGGGCCTCTGAAAAATCCCTGGCAAGGGCAACTTCTATATTGAAGAACAAGTTTTTAAATGAGTCTATTTCTTGTTTCCATACTGAACAAGAGGAAAGGATTGGGGAGATAGCTAATGCACATGGTTTGTCTTTCAACAGGGTTAAGAAACTTGCGAGAACCTCAAAGCATCATCGGAAGAAGTGGATGAACAGTGCCCAGGATGCTATCTTACATGCAAAATCTAAGGAGCTCAACAAAGGTATGGTCTGTCATGCCCTGACCAACCTACCCTACTCTTACCCAACCTCAGAGAACCCCCTCATTGCTCTGACTCATTACAGGACCTCCCAATTCATTGCGGAACCTCCCAGACACCTCCTCCATAAGCTCCCCTGCCTCAGTCCAATTTTGACAATCCATTCTATCTCTCAAGACTCCCATGATACAATCATACACATACTCAACCCCTTCCGCAGGACCTTTCCATCGCAGCAGCCCCATTAGTACCTAATTTTGATCATTTACCTTACACAGACCAGATTCCCCAATGCTCTCTTGTTAACTTCTCCGTACCTATTTAGACAGTCCTGTATGGTCCCAAATGCCAGTTTGGTATATTTGAACACACACCCTTTACGTAGGTCCAGTCCCTGTCCCTTTGTACCTGCTACCTATATGGAATTCGCTTTACTCTCTGTTTCACTATCTCTCTTGTCTCTCATCTCTAAGATCATCTATATGATCCAATACACACTTTTACTTCACGTCCAAGCAACCCAAGTGAGTCTTTGAGCTCCCTCGATCAATACTAAAGCTTCCCAATGTCTATTGTTTTGGTGAGCCAACCTCCCCCAAACCTTCCCAAGCTCCCCAAGTGCTCCACGAGCTCTGGGATCCTGACCTATGTAACATTGAACTACATGCTGCTTCTCCGTTACCACCTCCAACACTTGAGGATGTCAGCCGCTACCTCCACTTCCTGGGCTTATACTTCATTGAGAGATCTCACGTTTGGAACCCACATCAACTATGATCTACAATGATCCTACGTTGACACTCCTATCTATTACAACTCGTACTATGCAACATTCCAATGCTCCCTAGCTTCTGGTTACCTTCAGCCCACCAGTTAATGTCCTAGGGACCTCCCAGGACCTGCTAGGAACCTCTTCAAGGGTCATCCCTCTCAATCTGAACTATCATAGGCAAAAATCAGTGAAATTCAATGTGCCACAGAAGTTGATGATGACCTCCAAGATGCAAAGACTAATCCGGAGAAGATGAAGATATTGATGGATGAATTAAAAGAGCATCAACAGGCAAAAAAAGATGTAGCCCGGGCCTCAAATAAAGTTGGTGCAATGAGGGTGACTAGGCTATTACAAAGGTTCAATTCCAATGTGAGCTATTCAGACCGCGTTATTTGGCAAATGTGTTGCAACCTGTATAATCAGTTCCAGGAGCTCCGAGAGGCAACAGATGTGGCAGGCTTTGGGTTCTTTATACAGGGAACTTGTCATATGCATGCAATTCACCTCATATGCTTCCCAGCCCGGCCTGGAGCGGCTGGACTTTGGAATAATTACCTTGTGACTTATTTATTATCCCAAGCTTTCATCAAGGTCTTATGACTGTATTTGGGATGTATATAAGCTAGAATACTTTGTACATTGTAGTCAAGCTTGAAATCAAGTGTACCATCTTATCCCAGTCTTGTTAAGATCATGTACACCATGTAACTGTGCCAGAGGCCACAAGGCGTCTAAGAGCGGGAGGTCGAGTGGGACAGTGGTGAAGTTATTAACAACACCGCCGTTACGCCGTTAGTCCCCGGAGAATGAGAGTATAGAAGGGAGGAGCTAGTAGCAGCCAAGTCGGAGCAGCGGTATCGCTGGTGACGAGGAGCGAACCAAGGAACGTCTAAGTCCTAAAGTTATAGTAGAGAGCACTTCAAGGCGATGAGCCTGAAGACTTAGAGGAGCACAGAGTTAAGGAGGGGATCTAAGTCGATAATTAAACTGAGGAACTACAGTAGCATACAGGCAGTATTTATATCTACGGATCGGCACATCAGTGCGGAGCGCTAGACTAACTACTAGGAGCTATACGAGTAGTACCTGCAGGGTAAAGTAAAAGACAATAAGGAGAGACTAGAATGAAAGGGTATGTGTAGCGAGAAAGAACAATAAGAGTGAGATTACAATAAACGGTGGATCTTTGGAATACCGAGCGGCGGAATGGAACCCTGAGGCATGGACTTGACAAGTCTTTAATATCTTCTTTACCCTTTGCTTCTGGACTCCCAGATCATCAGGAACCTCATTTAGGCTGCTTATCCCAATCTTGCACTCTTGCCATTATATTCCCGGGGACACCAACAGTGTGTGAAGGGTGTTGCTAATAGCTTCACTAACGTCCCACTCCCAGTGTGTACTACAGGCCAATACTCAGTTCCGAACCTCGGAATTATCCCAGGCCATTCCCGGGCCAGATCCAGCCTCAGAACCTCTATAGCTATTGACCTGTAGGCACGGTCTTGTCAGAACTTTTGAAAGTTCCATCAAGCCCACTGTTATTGGTGGGGGTCCTGTACATGAATTCTTTCAGCAGTACTTCAAGAAGGATCCTTGGGAGATTTCCTGCCTTTTTGAAGCATTTGTCACTACTTATAATAAAGGTATGGTTTCTCCGAATTTCGGAACTTGTTTTAGTCTTTTGAGACTTCAGAACACATTCCAGCTGGCCTGGACTTCGGAAGTTACGTGGTCATCCATTCTTTTGTTGATTATTTTGTTATGAGTTTACTTTTTTTCAATCTGGTTTTTGTTTGCTTTATTATGTGCCTTTGACCCCCTACATCGGCAGGCCGATCCCTTCCAGTTTCTCTGAAATGTTCACTTTTAATTTATTCTTTACTACTGGATCTAATCCAATCCCTTTGCTTCACTATACTTTACTATTTCACAGCACACATATTCACAGAGGCCTTTGTGGGCTCAGGCCTAACGGGGGGATACTGTCATATGCATGCAATTCACCCAATATGCTTCCCAACCCGGCCTGGAGCGGCCGGACTTCGGATTAATAACCTTGTGACCTACATTCTATTTATTTATTATTCCAAGCTTTCATTGAGGTCTTCTGACTGTATTTGGGATGTATATAAGCTAGAATACTTTGTACATTGTAGTCAAGCTTGTGTCATGCCCTGACCGCAACCAGACCAACCCCAGCACCAGCCCACACGCTTCCTTACACCTCCCCAAGACATTCCCGAGGTAGTACACACCTCCCCAAGACAGTACCACTGGTAATACGCACCTCCCCAAGACAGTCCTGACAACCATCCTGACACGCGTACGAAACTCCTAACACCAGCCCCATTAAGTACCAATCTCGATCGCCTGTCTCTCGATTACCTGCCTCATGTCCCCTAGACTCTGATGTTCCCTTGTTCACTTCCCATACCTATTTAAGTAGCTCCGTAACGTTCCCAAGCCCCAGCTTGGTATATTTTGAACACACACCCTTTTGCATAGGTCCAGTCCCTGTCTCTTTGTACCTGCTAACCATACGGATTTCTCTTTACTCTCTGTTTCTCTACCTCTGTTTCTCTTTACTCTCATCTACTGTCTCTCTGATCGTCTATACGATCGAATATACGCTTTTACTTCAAGTCTAAGCCATCCAAGTGAGTCTCCAAGCTCCCTCGAACATTACTAAAGCTCCCCAACGCCTAAACGCTTTGGTGAGCTACCCTTCCCCAAACCTCCCAGAGTTCCCTAGCTACTTCGTAAGCTTTAGGACCTCGATCTAAGTAACGTCGAAGCTACCCCTCACGTCAAACCACGTATCACTTCTCCGTTACCACCTCCAACACTTGAGGACGTCCATCCTCAAGCCCAGTCCCCGGGAACCTACCTTCCCGGGCGTATACCTTCTTGGGAGCTTACCACCTCGAGACCCATTTCCATCTACGGCCTATTCAAACCCTATATTGATGTTCTAGTAAGTACAACTCCTACTACACGATATTACAAGGTTCCATACTTCTACCTAACCTCCCTACGCCTTAGGGACCTCCCTAGACCTCCTAGGAACCCCCTCAAGGGTCACCATCTCTTCGTCCCAGCCACTACTAGGTCATTCCTGTCCTCGGTCGTAGTTCCCGTAGCTCCCTTCGAGCTCCAGCCTGCTCCTAGCATGCTACAACATAAACCTTCACATACCAAACCCTACCTTAAGACCTATTCTGACCCAGGTCTTACAGCTTGAAATCAAGTGTACCACCTTATCCCACTCTTTAATACCTTTGCTTCCGAGCTGTTCCGGACTCCCAGATCACAGGAACCATCTAGGCTGCTCATCTTGATATCATATCCTTGCCATTATATTCCCGGGAACACCAACAGTGTGTGAAGGGTGTTGCTAATAGCTTCACCGACGTCCCACTCCTAGTGTGTACTACAGGCCAGTACTCGGCTCCAGACCTCGGAGTTATCCTGGGCCATTTCTGGCCCATTTCCGACCTCAGAACCTCTATAGTTATTGACCTGTAGGCACAGTCTTGTCAGAGGCAAGCAATGAGGATGGCAATGCTAAGAGCACAGGGGAGGATGAGGACAATGACAGAAGGGACAATGACCAAGGGTCAGGATATGAGGATGAGGATATTGATGAGCTAGATAACTAATTGATTAGCACATACTGTATTGTTTTGTTCATAATAGTATGAAGTTTTTCATAGAAAATGTGCAACTTTGACATTTTTCTATGATGTATGGGGAGTTGGGACAGTGAGCGGGAGATCAATATAGTGACTGACTATATGCTGAAATAAGAGTGGAAAAGATGGTGGGATGTGCCAGGAGTAGTGCCCAGTGTGCTCAGAGATTCACGTCAATATAACAATCAGTATAAGTTACACTGCTGCACGGAACTTTGGTATATTCTTAAGAATTGGAAAGAAGAAAATTTTTACAAACGCACTTTCAAGAATATCGTCAATATCTATATTGGATCCTGTGAAATTCATGCCCAACCACTAACACAAAATCCAACTGAGCCAAAAGGCTACTATGACAGGATAATTGTCATAGGTGGTTGGGACTATATATACCACATGTATTAAGACCTCTCCGCATAATCTTAACAGATCCAGAATTCTTGTGAATCTTGAAGAAATTTCCTGACTAAGCCTGCAACTCTTAAGAATATCATCTGGTTGTTCACAAAAAATATTGGAAGTTTCTTTTTTTTTCTCAGCATTGTCAGCAAACAATCATAAAGCTGATTACAAATGTCTGCCAGCGCACTGACAATTTTCAAGTTCTCTATCGTTTTTTGTTGTTGTCCTTCCTCCTCAATGTCAACTTGCATCAGCCCACAAACTGGAAGCAAGTGTATGCCACAAGAATCAAGAGATTCAATGAGATTCAATGTTCTTCAAATAGTTACTCCTGCAAGGTCTCAGTTTTGGCTTCAAGTCTCAAGGATGAAAGTCTTCCACCATTGTCAATGTTGTCAATGTCGTCAATACCATCTCAACTTCCACCCTCAAGACTTCAAGTGTCAACATTCACTAGCACTTCTCAATAGGCAACAAAAGTACTAATATCAGTATATAGGGTAGACATGGCATGTAAAATATTGTAGTCATCGCAGTCTTGTACGGACTTGGCAAGCAAATCATTCTCTTTTTTTTTAAATGGTCTGATATTTGATGTTAAATCATCTGGTCATGGGCCAGGATCCGTGACATGAGCGCGCGAGTCACGAGACATTCAAAAATCTGACAATATTCTTAAAAGTTCATTCAAAATTCTTAAGAATTGTAGTTTTCAAGAAATTCTACAGGTTTGGGCGCTCCTCTATCTCAGGATTTCCTTAAGAAACCAGTCAAAATTCTTAAAAGAGTGCAACCATAAGAAAATCATTGAATTCTGCACACCAGTGTACTGAGGATTTATTGGATTTATTCAAGGATGAGAAACTACTGTTATTGCTACATATATATACCAAAGGTGATCCAATCAATCCATCGTATATATACTGTCAGGGGGGATTATCAGGTGGGATACAGATCATGATGCAACATTACTGCTGAACCTTGTGAGTGAGTCTGAGCAACGTTGCCCCTTTGCACTCGTCCACCCTCGTCTGCATGTAATTGATATTATGTACACAATTCATATCCTATATTCTAAATTTCCTCGGGGTGCTTATATCAGACACGCAGAGTATTGGTAATAGTGACTAAGCAATATTGCCGCGAAGCGGCTGTGGATCCTCTGCACGGAGCGCTCAGAAATCTGCCGCGGAGCGGCGCGGCACAGCCGTTTTCCCTCATGATCATATTGAATACTTGAGCTGTTCACCCTTCAGATAAATTCCCTCGCAGCCCTCATTGTATGTACTGATTTTGGAGATATCTAATTGCTTCCATGTAAAAAATCTTTTTGCTTAATCATTCCAATAATATTTGGTTCCAGAGCAAGTTTGATCCATTGCACTTCCAAGGTTCTACAGGTTAGAATACCTGGAGGTGATAATGCAGGAGACTGCATTTAAACCATGCATAACACTAACACCTTCAAATTTGGATGAACCTGCCACTTACATTGGAGAGACATCAAATTTCAGTCTGTCTTGCTTTTGCAAATGGTCAATCAACAAATCCCAATGGCAATTAGTGAAGCAAATAGGCTGAGATCTGCACAGACTGCAGTCATTTGCTCTACAACAAGACAAGGGGTCAAAGCTATTCATCCCAAAGGTCAAGTTGTTTGTTGCACTGTATCACAAATTCTTGAGGCTGCACAGATGATACTTAAGCAATGTCTGAGAACATAGAAAATAGATTGCAAGGTCTGTTTCATACTATCTCCTATCTATCCTATCCCAGAGGTTCTTTGAAATTAAATGACTAAATGTCAAGTGTTAACAAACAGTTTACTCTCAGTTGATAGAAACACAACTATGTATATTGTATGTACCTGTTAACAGACAGTTTACTCTACTGTGCATCAGTATGGTGGTTGTACAGAGTATACTATGCTCACAACTGACAGATTCTATAGTGCCGTGTCTGACCTACCTACCTATTGTACAGTATAATGTAATAACACTGTTTATCTGTCAGACTGGGTTGTACATACAGGATATTCCTCAACATCAAGCACTATTTCTAGCTTCACAATACATATTATTTGTATAGTTGAGAAGCAGAATAACAAGTATATAGTGTGGAGGAGCAAAGCAACGACAAATGGGGGTTTGGGGGCTTGCCCCCAACAAGCTGTGAACCCGGCTGGAGTGCGGTGCGAGCTTTGCGAGCCACCGTGGCGTAGGCACGGGTTCTAAAGCTTGTTATTATTCAACTTCACTCCGGTTCGCTTGTATATGTAAGAAATTCAATCAGTGACCAAAAAAGATATGCCGAGCAGTGCCGATCGTCCAGGGAAATTCTAAAATGCACACCTACCAGGAGGCCGGAGGTAGGGTGATTTTGAGCAACATCTCAGCTCCCAGGAAGCTTCCGGGAAGGTTCAACTAGCGAATCTATGGATATCCACCACGGTACCTTCCTGGAACCTTCGACACCAATCGTGGTGTAGGATAGCGCGCACGCGCCCTAGAGGTGAGGGAGATTCAGATCGGGGGTATTATGTTGCCACGCGAAAGGCCCTACAGTCTGATCCGAAGTCGGGTCTGGAAATTCTCTCGACTCGAAAAGCTTGGACGCTTACCGGCCTTGACATGAATATCTTCATTTCCTTCCCAAATGTTGACCAAGTTGTGCCGGCGTCCCAATTCCTTTTCCAACATTTGAAATCTCGCAAGGGACCATTCAAGCCATCATCAAGACTGTGCTTCAACGCTTTATCAGTTGACTCAGATTTACATGAAAAGCTCAAGATTGCGCATCATGCGCGAGACATGGGAGCTCTAGACAGTCTTTGCGGTGCGTATAATGGCTTTACCTACTCGGGTGATCTTTCAATATTCTTACGCAGTGTACTTTGAGCGGAATGCGTGGCGATTGGATCCAGACCTCAAAGGCATGATTAAAACCATTCGTTCAATAGAGTCAGAGAACAAAATAATGCCATTCGCTAGAGGTGAACAGAAACTCCCTATCTGGGCTTCCACCAGGGAAGACACAGATCCAGATACAATGGATCACATTCAAAAGCTCGGGATTCCACTCGGAAACCGCGAAGAAATTCCTCTTGTCATACTTCACAAACTGGGTAGTTTTCAGAATGATCCCATCTTGAGGAAGAGATTGGGCACGATATTCTCCTCTGATCATCATACGTTCGTCTCATACATTACTTGAAAGGACTTCGAGTTAACGTTGTCAAAATGACCAGGTTTCTGATCAATACGTCCGGCACTGGAAAAACTAAACTCCTTTTTGAAGGTCTCTCCCTCCATTGGGGCCTCTATTTCACATGTGATATTGATTCTTCGTTCCTCGGAGCTGGTGATCTTGTTGTCGCCATCAATGAGATCGAGTCAAACCGGAACTGGACAGGACATTTGCCTTTTCGCTCCAACCCCGAACACCACATCCCTGCAAAACAACATACAAACGGTTTTCAGATTGACTAGCGAAGCACTTTTGGCGCGATTGCTTGTTTTCAAACTGTACCTGGAAGCGTGCTCACAAGACGCTTTCTGCCATGATCATCGGCAGCGCTGGCTCGAATCGCAGATTTTCCCCCATACCTTCACATCGTTGTTTGAACCATATGGTAAGACGAAGTACGAGATTTCGTTAGCTGAAGTACGTGATTCAGTGATTGACGAAGCCATAACGCGCACGTTGGAAGACATTCAAAGCATCTGGGACATACCGCCAGGTGATTTCTTCTACATCGTAATAGATGAGGCAAACGTAGCTTCCCGAAAGCACAGTGGAGCCTTCGAAGATGAATACGGACGTTATCCGCTTTTAAAGGAAATTATTCGAAGTTTTCAATGTCGGATGGGCCACTTGCCCGTGAGGTTTGTTGTTGCGGGTACCATCATTCCTCGGGAACATTTTCAATCTTCCTCAGGGGAATGGGATAGTTTCCGTTGGTGTTCAGATACAGGTTGTTTTGATGATCCGGAGGCCCATCGACGTTATATCTCCCAGTTTCTACCGCCGCAATTTGAGAAGTCAAACACAGGCCAACTTCTCATAAAACGAATGTGGCATTGGTTACGAGGAAGGTAAATATTGTTCATCTCACGTAGACCACTGCTTAACAACATTTAGGTACCGCTATACCGCATCTTTCTTGACATTGTTATTGGACAATGATTTTGAGAGTCCCCATACATTATTGGGAAGATACGTTCAAACTCTATCCGGATACATGCCCCCTGAGAATTCTGAATATACATCACAAGAGACATTCTCCATGAACAATTGGTATTTATCTCTTGGCTCTGAAGGTTTATCTAGACGTGCGTTACTATGGGAAAGCTTGCCTTTTCCTTACTGATTCTTTCTGATGATTGTCAGGTTTCACTAGCACCATTGCAATGCACCGGTCGGTCATAAGCTTTTTGACCACTTCCAAGGGATGCTGTGATTTCACGTCCAACGACATCGATCTCGTCAACGAAGACTATGGAATTTTTCTGGATCCAACGTGTTCTCGAATAGGACTGGACGAGCCGGTAACAGTCATTTACGGGGCGAAATGGCTCAAACAACAACCATATCTCACACTCGTGAGGTTGGCTGGGACGTTTGCTTGGAACTACCAAACTGAAATACATCCGTCTCACTTTGCTTCATCCCTTGCTTTATCTTTGGCTTGGTGTTTTGGTGATTTCTGCAAGGTTTCGAACACCTGCACGGTCTTTGGACTCACCACGCCATTATTGGATGGGAGACTCGTGAAGTTTGTCAAAGTTGCTGAGCGACTAGAAACATTGGATGTACAACTCTCGGAAACTATGCCCGACAGACTGATGTTTGTGGCGGGGGCTCCAGAAGAAGTCATGTCCTGGTTCAAACACGAGCATGACGAACCGTTTTGTCTACTGCCCTCTTCTTCGAGCACTAGCGTGACTTTGGTCTTTTGTCTCAAACTGTCTGATGAGCGAACTTTTTGGGTTTTTGTATATGTTCCTTCGACATTCACAAGAGAAAATCCGGACTTTGCCCAAGACATCAAAGAGATTCATCCGAACGTTATATTTCGTGATCAGGTAAGGAAATCGTTACAATTTAGCCTTTCAAAATATTGAACGAATGTTTCTCAGCCTGAAGTCGTTACGCTTCTCGATCAGCTACCAAATCTAAATGCCGACGTGGGTCCCTCTGGCATCCTACGTATTTCTGGCTCGTTCCGGGTCAAAAGCGCGACCGTGGACAGCATTCCGCACGAAGAATATCCTGCTGGGGTCCTGAACATTGGGAGGCTAGATAAGTTAACGAAAGAAATTTCTCAAGACATGCTCATGCGTCGTCTATCTCGAATCTTCACTCAAGAAGGTCGAATAGAACCATTTTATATGGCGTTACCCACAGCGGCTCAGGGTGATGTTTCAGCCATAGCCAAGAAACGTGCCAGATCCACATCTACAGATGATGCCGCGAGTACTTCCAGGACCGATGGAACGAAGGTTCAAAAGTCTTTCAAAGATATTGTCGCCCCAGATTCCGGTCCCATGACTAGGAAGGGTCGCAAAGGTACAAGGAATTTGCGAACTCTTCGCAGTAATCGCAACATAAGAGATGTTGTTACAGGACGTGCTTCAGTCGTGGTTCCTCGTTCTAGTTTGGTTGATTCAACCGTTCCGTCCTCGCCATATAATTTACGCAAACGGAGATAAAAGCAGCTTTGAATGTACTTGATTACACTCGATTTTCGTAGGTAAAGTAGTATCTCAGTGATAGTCTGTTATACCCTGGATTTCTTTCATTTATGAATAACAATATTGGAGTAACTTTTAGAAATCCACCAACAGATTTCTTGTTCAATCTCATATTCGGCAGAGGTTCAACGTCCTGCTGCGGTGCTGTTTGAATATTGATGGGTTGTGTGAGCCCGAAAAAAAGTTTCCTCCTGACGAGTTCATGCTCCATCTTTCTCAAACTAGTATTGTCCAAGCAAGGAATAAGTAAGGTAAAAGTCATGTTTCATCCTCCCCCTAACCGTTAAGGGGCACTCAAAGAGAGAAAAAAACGGGGCAGATCCTCAACTGTAGTGGATGAGAAGGGGTGCAGTTAACCCCACCAAGGCAAAATTGGCTATGTTGCCATAGGCATGGTGACTTGATCAAGTCAGAACTGCTGGTGGATTGGGCCTCAACACCCTGCAGAAACAATGACTCAAATTATAGGCATATGTGTTCCATTACCTGTACAGTACATCGTGAACTGGTTGTTCAGGAATCGGACCTCGCCAGTATAATTCATATCCTATTCTATCGTATTCCAGTGTTACATAGTCCTATCGCATAATGATATCGATGCACTTGGTTATGGAAGCCAAACTGGGGCCCGTTCAGCGCAAAATTTCATCACAGAAAGCATCAGCATGTAACTAGGCTGGAAGTGCATGGCTATTTCAGCATCTCAAATATATTCTGCAAGAATTTTCGGAAGCCAAAGTCTTGAAATCATCGAAGATATGAATCACAAGGAGGCTCTACATCCGAATTTTAGCCTTCTGTCACAAATTTTCAGGATATACTTCGTTTGAATCCATTCACCGCCATGAATAAATCACCCTTCCTGATCAGTTTCTCCAGCCTTCCGCCGAAATAGATCGTTATAACGTCGTGGAAATGATTGCTATGGTTTACTTGAGAGTCTCATATGCTGGCCCTCATACTCGCAGTAGTAGCGGCACTTGCTACTGAAGCTCAGGCACAATCCCCGGCGTATGGACAGTGCGGAGGCATAGGATGGTGATTAGTGAATTTCACCTGAACCCCCCACCCTAATACTCTTTTGTATAGGTCTGGGCCTACTACTTGCGTCTCCGGATACACCTGTGTAGAGACAAACACTTGTGAGTGCAATGCAATTCTTAGACAGCCTTTGGGTTCGGGTTTTACCTGTTAACCTCGATGTAGACTACTCACAATGTATCCCTGGAACTGCCACTTCCACACCCACTACGAGCATCGGGAGCTCGACAACGGCTACCAGCACATCTACAGGAGCCACGCCTACTGGATCCCAAATACGTTCTGATCAGGACCCGACATACCATTTCTATCTTCAGAACAGCAGTACGTGTCCGATTCCTATTCCATTGTGCTTCATTTGACCTGTTATATCTTCATATAGATGGTACAGCTGTTCTCGGCCCTGAATCATCCTCTGGCTACTTCACGATTGGGACTACAATTTCTCTCCCCGGAGACGATGGCACGACACTCTATTTGAATGTCGACACCTCCGATACGACAGTTAGCTATCAAGCTTTGACTTTCGGGCCCACAGCAGTGACAACTGACTGGGGACTTGAGGGCGATACGATCATTGAGACTGATCCGCGACAGCTCAATTTCCTCAACTGTGCGACGAGTGATGCTACAGTATATAGTTTGTACTTGCAGACGGGAAATGACTCTCCGTCGGGGCAGACGTGTTCATTAACCTCCTTGCACTTGGACTGCTTGTGCTAGGTGAGGTACCGAAAAATTTGTTTACGTTGAGATAATATGACTGTCTAACCGACTTGATGACAATTGGCAATTGGAGAGGGATCGGGAAATGGAAAGAAAAGATCAGAAGAGTTGTGATGCAGGCTTTGATACGACTCACTTATAGCATGATATAGCGCAACAGACTTGGTGATTCCAATGTATGGCAGCGTTGAGAGTCAGAGATGAGACACACATAATGAATCAGGATTTCTTGTAACCGTGCCATAGACGCTATCCATATGAGCCGAGAGAATATGTAGCCTGTGTTGGAACTTGACTACGAGGTAGCTTGGTAACCCGGAGCGAGAAGCGCGTCAAAACTTAGAAGAGGTCAGAAGGTGAGGCGCGGCTTTCAGGTTTTGGGATCAGCCACCCTTGACCTTGACTTCTGTACTGTAATCAAGTTCAACACCGAAGGAGATTTTTGTAGTCATCCAACGCAGCTCAGAAATAAAGCAGTCCGAAGTTGACAGGAGTGTTGTGGGGGTGCTTTTCGCTTCATTCGGCGATAAATTACGGGAGCTGACTCAGCAGGCACTAACGCTTCCCGGCTGCGGTTCTAGACAATCTCATCGACCTCTTGTCATCCACCATCATCATCTGGGGTTGAAATGGCCGACGCTAAGGTCTGTAGCTACTGTTCCGACCCGAAGCGAGCTCATATTAATTAGGGGGCCAAACAGATTGCTATGTCCCGAGCTTTGGGCGCCGCATTCCTCAACCATCAGGTGGAACAGCTCGAAAAATCCGTCGGAAACGTTCATGGTCCCTCATCGGGAAATTGGAGGGATAGGACTTCGAAATACAACTCAGGCAATCCCAACAACTCCAAACATAATGCTCCTAAACGAGTTTCCAGCAAAGTGGTCAACGCTAATAACAGGAAACGAGATGGAGAGTTTCAGTTACTTACTAGGGATAGGGAGAGCCCAAAATCGGAGCAGGGTCTTAAGAAAAGGTCTAATGAGCAGCAGGAGAAGGACGCCGATATTGTGATCGTCGATGCAAGTGTCCTGGTCCACGCCCTCAATCACCTGAAGAAATGGTGTAAGAGTGGTAGGGAGGAAGTGGTCATTGTTCCACTCGAAGGTTTGTCGCTGTTGCTTACATTTTGAAGAGCGTTCTCATAGTGGACTTCACAGCTTTGAATACTTTGGATTTACTTAAAAAGGGTACGACCTCACTTGCACAGCGAGCTCGTGAAGCTTCCCGCATTCTCGAGGCTCAGGTCGGCAATAATCCACGAATTCGAGTGCAACGGGACGAAGCATTCGTACCATGGGATGCCATCGACTTTCAACTTGAATCCGACAATACAGATGATAAATCCAACATTCAAAACTCTCCTGAATGGGTACGGCGCACTATCTGTTGCGCTCGTTGGGAAGTACAACATGCGTCCCCTGCAGGTGACACTGGTACAAAGCCGAATGTTGTTATCGCAGTGTGCACTGCTATCACCACATCTCCATCGAACGCTACCACCAAACTGCCAGATGCCGATGCGAACTCTACAGCTTTGCTGACCCCGGTCCCTTTACCTGCTCCCTCTCACGCCCATTTCAACAAGCACGAACCACGTACGATGGGCTCTCAGGTCAGTCGGTGGGCCGCCAAAGCTGGTGTTACTATCTTGGACCTCAAGCCAGCTCCGCCACCGTCTCAGTCTACCCCCAAATCGAACGGTAGTACCGGTTACTCGGCTCATCCTCGGTCATCCTCGGAAGAAGATCGACCAAAACGAATACTCACCAATAAGGGCGGCCGTCGTCCTCCCTCTGCTGAGACCGGCAAGCTTAAGGGTGGGCTCGTCGAGCGCTCGCCTGCTGTTTCTATTATGATGGAAATGGTGCAGCGCTCGGACAGCAAAGCGGTCAGAGTTCTCGCCCGCGGTGAAAAGCTCGATCCCGATACCTAAGGAACAAATGACCTCACCGTTCAACGGGAAATCTTCAAACCAAAATCACGTTTGATCACTAGAACACGGATCTCGTCAGGTTTTCGCACATTTTTTTCGTCTCTGTACTCTCTTCTCTGTTGCTGGCTCCTCCGGTTATGATGGATATGGGTTTCGAGAAGGAATAGTGTCATTCTGACTGTCAGGTGGTGTGTTCGTATCTCAACACTTTGCTATGGGGTGCTGAATAGCTTTACCTCTTGCAGCTGTGGGCCCACTAGGCTGGAAAAGGAGGTCACGAGAAGAGTATTCAGCAATAGACATTTCCTGTCTGAAAGGGAATATCTTTCCTTTGTATGGACGCGAAGCGCTGCTGCACTTCCATTGATAGGATAGGGTACAGACGCTATCCGGGGTTTCTAGCCATGGACTCGGATGATGTGCTGTCACAAAGTATCAACATGCCAGCGTTATACAGTACAACTTCTCACTGCGCCTTATGTGCAACCACGGATCGTGATTTCTTTTTTACATGTTTTCGTTTTTTATTCTTCCTTCGTTTTTTGAATCCCATCCTATGCAACGTACCTTATTTACCTGTCTTCTCTGTCTTATGCTATATATCTTCCAATTTGTACAAGGCGTGAATGAAAATGGGTCCATTGATAAATGGGATAATGTAACAATAACAGCGATTGCTATTATGTAAGCAGAGTATCCTCTTGTACTATGTTTTGCTCGAGTGTCCGTCCGTCCATGTACATATATTGTATTCCAAAGTTCCAGAGAAAAAAGTGTACTTGAAAATGAAGAGAGCAGCGAAGGAAAGCAATTCAACGAGAACAATTATTTAAGCCAAGGAGGGAATGCAAAGTCTATCGGGTATTCGAGAAACTCTTGAGCGAGTAGCAGCAGCACTAGAAGCAGAAGTACCGAGGAGTCGGATTCTGCTTGTGATGATTCGCGTTTGAGGGACTCTTGGGTCACATTGACGTACAGAAGGTTCGAGCGCAGCAGATAGACCTAGGACTTTGTTTGTTTGAGGATCGATTCCAATGGCTCCAGTCATCGCTGGTGCAGCAATCTTTCTTGATGACGGGTCGAATAAATCGTTACTATTCGAGGATTTAGTGCTTATGAGATTTACGAATAATTCGTTACAGCAAGAGATTCGGGAAGGATCGAACACTATGCCAGGGCTAACTCACCTCAAGAGAAATTGTCTTTGCTTTTGTCCTGTGAGTCTTTCAGGATCGTTCGGTACCCAATTCGAAGTGGAAGTTATGAGAATGCGGTGAAGGTATTTGCGGCAAGAAAAACATAGTACGAGGAAGCTCTAAAATACCCACAAGTGAAGGAAACAGGGGAGTTTGTCAGTGAGCATTCACAACAAGCGAAGTCAGAGAAATTGACTTACGGTAACAGTAGAGAGGCTTCGTTTGAGCAACCAGAACGCGACGATCCAAATGATTTCTAGGATCTTGAGGAACGGAGAATCAATCCACGCGGATAGGGAGGCCCCTCAAATCACAAGAGATGTATGTTCAGCGAGGTTTCCGTTAAAAATAAGTACTGAAATTACCTCTAATAAGAAATCCCAGAACCCAAACCAGGTTCCCTTTCCACCACCTCTCTGAGATTATGTTATCGTATGAGAACCAGGCTTGATCTTCTTCCTTAGGTGCAGGCGGGAGTAGCTTATCTTTGAGTTCTTCTACCTTCACATCGAGAGATTCTATATGGTCGGTCGTTCTTCCCGCGAGGGTATTGAGGACATCGCTAAGGTGATACGCCGAGTCTGAGATGAGTGCACGAGCTTGATGAATTTCTTGCGTGGTTTGATGAGATTGAGAGGCCAAAGAAAGAGCGGTCGAACTTGTTGAGGTGGTTAGGTGGGAGATTGCCTGGAAGTTGGAAGCGAGAAATTGAGGTAGGGAAAGAGTCATCGAGTCCAGTACAGGTTGTCAGTTGAAGAAGACGGGGCAAATAGACAGTGTGGTTATCACCTCCTTCATGACAGAGAACTCGCTGTACAGGAGTCTCCATTGATCTTGGACGGAAGTCTATGAAATAGTGAGCTAGTGTTTCGTTCGGGAATCAAATGAAATTGTGCCGGATGTCACAGAAGCATTTACTACTGCAAATCTAGAGGAAACAGTGTGAAGAGAACGAAAGAAAACACACGGTTAATTCGCCTAGGACGGCTGCCTGCTGTTGACGAGCGACTTCGGATGAATGCATGAGAAGCCCATGCAAAACGGCTTCGAATTCTGGTACAATTGCTTGAAGTTCGCGCGAATGCTGATTTCATCCAAGTGGCGGCATAAGCTTGACGAACATCAGTAAAAAATACGCGGTACTCACCCGTGCGGATAAGCCTGCCAGTGCAGAGTCGATCTAGACGTGTCATATCAAGCACGTTGTGGATACTACGTGAGGTCGACAACCGGAAAGAGACTCACTCTATCCAGTTGAGTCAGGTGGTCAGCCTTCACCTGTGACCGAAACTCTGATGATGACTGGGATAGTACATGGAGGGTCTACAGAAATTGGTCCGTCAATTGAGAGGTAAGGTGAAAGGGCTAAGAAATTTGACCTCAAGGCCATGTCTTTGAAGCTCTTCTACTGCACTGGATGTATCTGTCTGAATACGTCGCGAGAGGAGAGAGAGCTGGTCCGTTATTTCAGCTGTATGCTGCCAGGGAAGTAAAGCGGTCAAGTCACCGATAATGAGAACAAATGATGAATGAAGAACGTACATCGAAGAACGCCGACCATCTCTCTGAATGGATAATATTGGCATGCTCTCGGTCTACTACCATTCGAAGGAATAGCTCTTGGTTGAGTGATATGTTTCGGAAAAGATCCTTCGCGTTGTCTGCAACAAGGAGCGTAAGTGAACACCACTTGAGTAGAGAGACAATTATGACCTACCAATGTCGTTTTCTCGCTGAAACGTAGAACATAACTGAGCTGAAATTATTGGTCTCACCATGAGCATTTCTGGAGACGCAGGAACTCGATGGCTGAAGTGTAACTCACGGACTTCTCGAAGGTAACCGGAGTAACTTGACCAGAATTGCGCGCTGCGCGATAATGCACTTGAAAGGAAAGGTACATCCAGATCAGACAGATCGCGCTGCAACAACTTAGGGAGGCTTATCGGGCTAACTTGACGCAGTTGCCTCGGATATCCACTTCAAATTCTTCCTGCTCGTCCGAAAACCCATCACGTGGACCTGAAGCGCGGAGACGAGCTGAAAACATGTCGCATTCCATAGGCGGCGCGTGGTGCTTTGCTGTTGCTAACTCGCATAGAGTCATTGATATAGCGGCTGTGTATTGGATTTGGTGCATCATGGAATATATATGCTCATTCGGAAACGCACCGACAACCCTTTCTTCTTCATTCATATGCAGCTCTGAGCAGCGCGTCCGGATCGATCCAGCAACTTTGTGAAAACAATCCGAAGATCGGCCGAGGGAGTTGAAGTAAGAGTCCGAGAGAGCATCTAAATGGGAGAGTTTGATGGAGAGAGTTGGTAATTATGCGATGGCTTACCTTTGTCACGGAGTAGAACTGCTCCTCCTGCTCTTATTTCTAGCGCTTTGAACGTGTCAATGGGGTAGCGAAAAGTACCTTTGGAAAATGTTTCGGGGATCATGGGCACAAAGCCCGACGAAGCCCGTGGGCCTGACTCGATTGTTGACGCCGGGGTAGCGGAAAGACAGCAGACAACAGCGACAAAACGGAGAGGACTCGTAAACATAATGGAAGTCGTCTTCAAGTGCAGCGGACCCGGGCGCTAGATAAGGCGTTAATCCCATTTAGCGCTCGGTTTTCTCGCGACCCCGACTCCGTTCCCCTGCCGTTCCCTCTATTACTAACGAAACTTTCCGTTTTTCTTCATTCATACCTGTACTCATACAAGCTCTAGCCTTATCTTTCTACAGGTACTAATCTCAGTTGATTTCCCACTCAACTGAGCCTTATCTATTTCTACAGTTTCAATGTGAGTCATGGGTGGTGAGTATTCTTGATATCTTTTAGGAAGCATTAAGATAGGTGCTTTATCATGTCCAGGTTTCTGTGAGTAGGATCTGGCTATTATGTCAAATATCGATATCTACATATATCTGTCTATTGATGTCGAGTTCCGAGTACGAGTCAAGCAAACGCATCTATGTATTTTTTCAGAGATTTTCTCTCACTTTGCATGTCGGATAATACCCGCGAGCTATACCAACACCTACTTCCTCTGGTCCTCTGATTGTGTCTCCTGACAGCTCCCAGCAGCTCTCTTACATGCCCTATGTAAGCCTATGTAAGTCTTATAATATATGTGGGAATTTTAGAAACTCTTCCACAAGTGGTCCATGGTTTAGGATCCCAAACTCAGAAATTTGATAGCTCTACTCAGAAGGGAATTTAGGATACTAACAACGACGAGAAGTCATCCACTTGTATCTCCTTGAGACTGATGAGGATGGGGGCGTCGACTATAAATCGTGTGAACGTCCTTTCGGAAGCGTGATAGTCATTCGCTTAGTCATCCTAACTTTATTTTTTTTCTTTCATCGACGAACAATCGGCGTCGTCCTACTCCTCCCAAAAACTAGAGAAAGGAATCCTACCACCATGGCTCCATTCTCCAAACCTGAGACCGTGCTAAAACAAGCTGAAGGCCTCGTTTCCGTTGGTCAAACTCATGCTGCCCTTCAGTCGCTTTCAGAAATGTTTTCGTCGAAGCGTTTCCGAAGTACCCCGGTCACGGCTTTGGAGCCTATCTTGATACGATTCATGGAACTTTGCGTGGAATTAAGGAAGGGAAGGACAGCGAAAGAGGGGCTGATGCAATATAAGAATCTTGCCCAGAATACGAATGTGGGAAGTATTGAGGTTGTGGTGGGTAGGTTTATTGAGATGGCAGAAGGGAAGGTCGTGGAGGCGAAAGAGAAAGCAAGAGAAGTCGCTGCTAAGGAGGTTGAGCTCGGTGGCGGAGCAGCTGGGGACGTTGATGACCTCGAAGCTCCATCCACACCGGAATCCATATTACTTTCTTCCGTTTCCTCACCGTCCTCTGCTTCGTCGATTCACTCGGATCGCACTTCACGTGCTCTGATAACACCATCTCTGAAATTCCTTTGGGAATCCTACCGCACATCCCTCGAAACTCTCAAAAACAATGCTCGCCTTGAAACGATATATCAATCCGTGGCTCAAAAAGCATTCCGTTTCTGTCTTATTAACAACCGTAAAACCGAATTTCGTCGTTTATGCGAGACTCTTCGCCTTCATTTAGCGAATGTAGGGAAATACGCTGCTCAACAGCGCGAGTTACATGCCGCAGGGGGAGCTGCGACTAGTGCGGGACATCATCAGATCAATCTAGGGGACCCGGATACGCTGCAAAGGCATTTAGATACGAGGTTCGCACAGTTGAACGCCAGTGTGGAACTGGAGCTCTGGCAGGAGGCTTTTAGAAGCATTGAGGATATACATAATCTGCTGACGATGGCAAATTCGATGCCGCAGATCGTTCAGCCTTTGAATACCATTGCTGGCGCCGCTGCGACTACCACTCCTTCCCTTGTCGGCACTACTGCCGCTGGTGCTGGTGGTTCCGTTACTGCCAATGCAGCTTCCGGTGTTGGCTCCGGGGCTGGATCGGCACCCGCTTCCTCTTCGTTAACAATAAAATCGACAGTGATGGCCAATTACTACGAAAAACTCTCTCGCGTGTTCTTGATGTCTGGCAATGCCTTATATCACGCCGCCGCTTGGGCGAAGTACTATAATCTAGTTACGTATGCTGGTGCGAAGGCCGTTGGGACTGGGGAAAGTAAGGAGGTTTTGGCAGGTAAAGTGATCGTCAGTGCATTGGCGGTCCCAGTGGGAAGTGGAGGTATGTTGTTTTGTTTGAGCCATTGTCTTCATTATTACTCACCGATTATTTGAACACAGGTTCACCTTCCCATCACCGTCTCTCCGCCCTTCTGAATCTTCCTTCTCCTACCTCCGGATCAGCGACTTCGTCTTCCTCTACCTCGACTTCATCCACTCAGAACCCGGCTCCATCCCGATCTGCACTGCTCTCATCCGCTCTCTCCCGAGACGTCCTAAAGCTAGCTCCTCCTACGGTTCAAAAACTCTATCACGCGCTCGAGGTGGATTTCGACCCGTTGACATTATGCGAGAGTGTGGCGCCGTTGTTAGAGGAGTTGGGTGGGGGTGCATCTACTGTTGCAAGCGCTGAAGATGCCGAAAACAAAACCGATGAAGTCAAGGAAGGTGCCACGAAAGAAACGACGCCCTACGCATCATATCTTCCTCTCCTCCATCAAGCTCTCCTCTCCCGTCTTCTCACACATCTCTCGGAGGTGTATTCGTCTATCAAAATTTCTTTCCTTATAGACTTATTGGCGCCGTTGAACACCCTCAATTCGACAGAAGGAACCACAGGGACTACAGTATTTACCCCCGCCTCAATCGAGAGCTATATCATGTCCTGCGCTCGTCGCGGAGACCTCGATGTGCGGATCGATCATGCAGAGGGGTCGATCGTGTTTATCGATGAGCCGTTCTCTATGGCCACATCGTCCACGGGTACCTCTGCTGATGCACAAGCCAGTCCTAGTGGTGCATCTGGTGCTAGTGGTATAATTGGAGAAGACGGTGCTACGATAGACGACGGTTACAAACCTGTCCAACCAAGTGCCACGGCACTTGTCAGGACCAGGCTAAGCAGTGTAGCGGGGTGCCTATATCAATCGTTAAGGGAATTGGAAGGACAGGGACTTGTTGCGCCTGCACCTTCCCCTCAATATTCTGAAGATTCCACAGAGGTGATATTTTTTATTCATCTATCCACCCAATTTACTCAACTCAATATCAATTGCAGGATTCGGCTCAACTTTCTCAAGAAGAACGCATCAAATCTCTTCTTACATCACTGCCAGCATACCGCAAAACTTTGCTCCTCCATCAAAGTCTCACCGCACGTCGCCGTCAACTTCAACAAGAGCTCCATGCCCGAGCGCAGGCGCAAAATTTGACGATGCAGGCGGAGGCGCAACGAAGAGGTAGCTAGTGTTTTTTACTTGAGTTATATTTGTGCGTTGGTCTGATCACCTAAACTAGCCAAAGAACAAGCTCGTCTCCTCTCGCTCGTTGAAGCCCGCGATCGTGAAGCCGCAAGGAGAAAAGCCGAGTTAGAGCAGATTAGAAGGGTGGAGGCTGAGAAGTATGCCAAAGGTAAGTTTTATCCTTGCGTTTCGTCCTCGAGTACATGATTTCAAATGTTACATGCTGTTTCAACATCTTTTTCTGTGCTTCACCGTCTATATTCATATCGAGCACAATTCTTTCTGACTTGAACACAATGTTCATTGGCCCCTCTAATTTTTTATCTTCCTCTCACTTGATGGTTTACTCGTACTCTGAGTCTCCCTCCATCGCCTGTTTGATCTATTTCTTTCCTTCACCCTTTCTGTCCACTTTCCACTTTACTTGTCTTCCGACTGTTCCTCACTTCTCTTTAACAGGTCTCCTTGAAGGTGGTATGGGTGGTATCCTGAAAGGTATGGGTAAAGAGGGGAGAGAGGCTGTCGAGGTGAGCTTTCATCTTCATCCTCGTTACAATTTCATATTGGAGGCATTCGGGTTATGTATTCTGTGCCTGCTTGTACATCTGTGTCCCCGTCATCGTTGCCTTCTACGTCCCTCTGCTTGTTGTCATTAGGGTCCTGTCATTCTCATAAATCTGACTCCTACTTCTCCGAGCGACATGTCATACTAATTAACTTTGTTGTACAGAAACTTACATCGTCCACTGACCCCATCGATACAACGTCCCTCATCAAAATGCAAGTCCTCGCGCTCGAACGAGACAAATCTTTACGTCTTTCCCGGCTCAAGACTATCTCTAAGCGGATCGACCACCTCGAGCGTGCTTACCGTGTTTCAGAGATGCCGTTGCTCAAAGAGGACTACTCTGTCCAGCAAGGAAGGGACCGGGTGGAATGGGAAGTTAGAGGGAAAGAGATGAAGGAGGAGGAGAGGAAGATTTGGGAAGAGGAGATGGCGACAAAAGCGAGGTTAGCGAGAATGAGAGATGATTGGGAGGATAGGTGGGTCGCTCTTTTCCATTCATGTGGCATTCAACGTCCTCTCTTATTTCTTCCTTCAGAAAATCCACCCTCCTCAAACGCAAAGGCGAAGAATTTGCTCTCCGTCGGGAAAAAGCTCAGCGCAAAATCGAATCTGAAAAGTCCAAACGTCTTGCCGAAGTACTTAAACATCAAACTGAAGTCCGAGCTGCTGCTGAACGTGAGACCGCTCGTCTTCTTGAAATTGAAGCCGAAGAAAAGGCTGCTCGGGAACGCGACGAGCAAGCTCGCCTTGAGAAGGAGCAAGAGGAAAGGGAACAGAGGGAGAAAGAAGAGGAAGAACAAAGGCAGAAGGAGGAGAGAGAGAGGGAGCAGAGGGAGAAAGAAGAGAAAGAGAAAGAAGAGAGGAGGAAAGAAAGGGAGAAAGAGAGACAGAAGGCGGCGGAGCAGGCGAGACTACAGAGGGAGAGAGAGGAAGAAGCAGAGAAGAGGAGGGCTCAGAGAGCACTAGAAAGGGCACAGGAAAAAGAGCAGGGATCGCAACGGAAATCAGTCTTTGGACCCTCTGGTGGTGCTCCTGCTGCTGGAGACGGTGTCAGTCCCGGAGCAGCTCCTGGAGCAGGAGTCTGGCGTCGTCGTGCTGCCGCGGAGACCACTCCTTCCGGTACGCCAGCAAGCTCTGTCCCTGGTACTCCTACCAAATCAGCATTTGGTGCACCAAGGGCATCTGCTGCTGCAGATATACCTGCCCGTTCCGAATCGCCTGCACCTGGTGCTGGGGCTAAATATCGTCCTAGTGGAGGTCTTGGTGGAGGTCTCGGCGGAGGTCTCGGTGGAGGAAGGAGTGATGGATGGAGATCTAGACTCGAAGCGAAAGGCAAAGGCGAGGCTCCGCCACCTTCCACGGGTACCGAGGGAGTGTCAAATGGCCGTGGTGGAGGTATTGGATCGAACGTCCCTAGTCGAACCGGTTCCCCTGCTCCTGGTGCTTTTGGTGGTAGAAACGACGCGAAGGGAGGAGAAAAAGGGGAAGCAGAAGATGGGTTCACGGTTGTCGGTGGGGACAAAAAGAATGTGTGGAAGTCCAAGAGGGGAGGGTTTGGTGGGCTAGGTGGACGTTAAAAAAACGTTGGCGATGCCATCTTATACAGGTTCTTCTTTGGACTTGGAGTCCTGGTTTGTTATCCCCTCCTGCATCCTCCTTTTTTGTTTTCCTTTTGGTTCATGCACCTCCTCGCGTCGTCAAGTTCCACGTCAATTGGTTTCTGACATTTGACAATCCCATGCCCCAATATACACTCTTTTCCTCTTGTTTTTTCTTCCTCGTCTCTAGTCTCCTGCGCCTCCACCGACCAACGTATCCGCGTATCTCGACTATTGCTCTCAGTCTTGTCCTGACTAAAGAAAACAATTTAATCTCGAAATACAATACCAATTCCCCATTCCCTCATACCTATGTATAGTGTGTAGAAAGATAGTTACTGATCGTTACATGCTTTTCTCTTTCTCTTTCCCATGCCACAGTTCCTCGTCAAGTTAATTGTATCTTTTTCACTTTTTCACCCACAGTAGTCTTTGAACTCTCAACCAAAAGCGTATCCTGGCAACATGGGCAACACAAGTGAAAGTGATGTTCACAAACAAAGGCTAACGATCATTTCAAGTGCGCCACAACTCTCTTGTTGTACGTGTACAATTCTAGATTTTGTGGCTTGTATGATGAGGACATAAAAAGCCCTCGCGCTGCATGCAGGAATCCTATCAAACCATCACCAATTTTGGCGTCTGACAGCGAACAGTGGGTATACCTCAGCCCCGCAGAAAGATCAATCATAGTGAGTGATTAGGTACTAATGTCCACTATCCTTCTTCAATCATCCAAAAACTCTTATTCCTACTTACAGTTTCACAGACTTCGAAGCATAATGGGAAAGGAAGAGAAAGATCAAAGTCCAAGAACCGCTTCGACGTCCGAGTCCCAGTCAAATGATAAAAGTACTCACTATGACAGTTCGGAAACTCGAACGAGGGATCAGGAGACTCTGGATAATACTGAGAGGAATAGTAGACGTGAACCAGGAACAAGCACATTGCTCCCGGCATACTTGAGATACTATGGTTTCCCAGAAACCAAAACCATACTTTCGATGAGGAGTTGGGAGTCTTTGCCGAGTATGGGCACATACTCATCATACACTCACCCTGCTGGTGCTCCGATATTTGAAGGTACCAACTATGGTCATCGAGTCAGATCAGTTAGCACGCACCTTCATCGCAGCACAATACCAATACCAAGGATTCAGGCTCTTCCGCCTCCACTACATATGCCAGCACTGTCGTCGAACTCCTGGGCACACTGCAAAAGGTGCTCACAGCCACTAACACCCACAACAACAGTTATCCAGGAATCCACTGTCTTAATTGCGCTGAACCCAGTTGAACCGTGTCCAGTATCATGCAAAATTCAACTGGACGCAGTTTTTTGCCCTTGGTGCCAGGATTCGGTCATCCTGTCGGGGGATCTGAGTTTCAATGGATACACTACGAAGCCTTTTTCACAAATTATACCTATATCAAAGTCTGGAGTCAACAGATACTATGATGATCGGTACGTTGCTTATCTGGTTAGGATATACAAGTACATTGAATCGATTACTCTGGATTCAGAGATGCCTATAATAGACCGACAGACAGCGCACAGCTTGGAGTCCGTCAACGTCGAATATCGAATCCATCAGATAGTGGGCTAGCAGGCAACATCTCCCTTACGTCTTCAACCTCGTCGGCAACTTCTGAGAAAACACAGGCTTGTGGTCGTCCAAAGTCGATCTTGAAGAAGGATAATCATGATAAAGGCGGTTCCAAAAAGAAGGCAGGTCTTTGAAGGTCTTTGATGGAAGTCCTCGTCGAGATCATGGTACAGATGCTAGGATATGAATGAGTTCAAGGGCAAATGAAGAACTTGCCAACAGTGGAGTAGAAGTTATGATCCTATCTATTTATCCAAGAGTGCGCATTTGAGTGGTAGCCCGTTGGCGCTTATTTTTGTATCGAACAACGTAGTCAGAGTCTTAGTCTAACTGCTTTTATCGTGAGAACTCCTTTCTTTACTTGGCGTATCGGCCATTACGGAAACGATGACGAAAGAAACATTGTTTACGCTGGAGCCTCCAGATTTTCGTGTTTTGATTCTGGCGGCGAAAAAGAAGAAGGCCGGAGAGGCAGTGGTAGATGCAGGGGCGGAATGGATAGACGATGGGCCGACTCAGACAATCGGTGGTGGAGATATAGCGATATAGTGTTGAAAAAGAGCTTTTGTCGAGTCACTCCGCGTTGGTTCTGCTTATATGGACACCTCCACGACGTGTATGGACCGCAGTCACGAGTTATCGTGCCCGTTATCGTGCCCATTCTCTTTCAAGTTTTGAGTCTCATGCATGGAATTCTTCGAGTCTTTCTCTAACATCACAAATACGGAGCTTGCCTCGCCCAAAGCGCCCTTTACAGCGCTCTGTGCTGTGGCCTTATCGACGGACCGTGTGTTTCATGGGAAACTCGAGACGCATAGGCTCTTCAAACTCTGTAGTGCGTTCGCTTATCTTGCTATCTCAAGATCATGCTCACAACAGATTTACAGTTCATTTAAACGAAATCCATGGGGATTACATCCTCAGCTCGCAGAAATGAACAAATCAATTCGCGAAATATCCTCGAAAGGGAGAACAAATAAAATTGCGAGAGGAGAATGGACGCGGCCTATCTGGCGGAGGGTAATAATGGCGAGGTACCCTTGGGAATCCTTTACAAGCCAGACAGCTTTCATTGTAATCCTAAGCTCGAAGCAAAATTGGATCGAATATTCTCCCCTCTCACTGACACGTACGCCGCCACAATTTTCTCTGTCACTCATTCTGATACTATTGACTTAGATTTCTTGTCAATGCATGTGGTACAAGAAAAGCCAGACTCCTCTATGAAGGGTTGTCTCTGCTTCTAGTGTTTTGGGGGCCCGAAAATTCCGAAGTCTGAAGTCCATCAAGGTCAATACTGCGGGCCCTGGTGCCAAAGTGCTAAAACGCTAAAGTCTTCCAATCATGATCGTGTGCGAGGTTTCGTTAGCAAAATTGGGAAGAATCGCAATGGTACGAGCAGAACATGCGATAACGTTGTAGTCAAAGCAGAATGTGCTACAGACCGAGCTCCAACTAGGATGGCACTTGATCTACTGCTTCATCGATGTCGACCTATTCTTACAAAGATTGATAACTCGCTTTGCATTACTCGAAGATCCTCAACTACTGAGTTTGATTTGTACTATTGTACTATTAAGTATTACCTAGGTGTCTAACGCTTGCGCTTAGAGCCCGGATGTATTACCAACTGTGCAATCTCGCTTTCTATCGAGTCAACGGTTTTGTTGTTGGGGTCACTGTTCTGACACTGGTCAATACCCAATACAGCGGGATCTTGTTCGTCCAAAAAGCTCAGTCCTTTTCTTTTGGCATTCAACGCGCTCTGTCTGATGACTTCGAGAATATCATTGGGGTAGGTCCAGACGTCCATCATATAAAACAGGTGAACAAATAACAAAAATACACTTATTACCCAATGCTACACCAGGTAATCCCAGGGTAATCCCCAGGGAAAAAATCCAATGAATTGAAAGTGATGAGACGTGAGGCCCTAGGAGGCCCTTTAGTATATACAATCTTTTTTCATAGTTGCCAGTTGCTCGATTCTCACCAAAAGGAGGACGATCGAATTAATTGCATTTGCTTGAACTAAATAAACGATGGACGTGCATTTCATTGACAACTTACCTGATGTGCCGATGAGCTACTGATGCAAGACTCGAAATACAATGCTTTCCAAATTGAATACACAGTACAATAAGTAAGCAACCAAAGACGGTTACACAATAGATCGTCAGGATGGTAATCCGAGTCATCGCTTCCGCAAGTTATATGGTGTCGAAGATGATGCACCAGTAGCTTCAACTCTATCAGACTGAGTCTCAATTCTATGTTGTCTACGACCAGATCGTACAGTTCTACCAGTACCTTTGTGATCATTCCCAGGTTTGGTATCGGGGCCTGTGGCAACATCAACCTTGGTAGACTTTACACTCTTTGTTCTGTGATCGCCGGCAGCTCTACGATCTACAGCAATGCCTTTAGTGAACCTCGTGCTCTTGGTTTTTCCGGTTCCAATGATAGTGGGGGTAACTGCGCCAGCCTCGTCTACTACAGTCGAGGATCGGCCCCGTTTTTTACCTTTCTTAGAGTGTTCCTCTACAGTCAGCGGAGGTGCAGCTTCTACTTTTTTCTTCGTTTGTACAATGGCTAGGGAAAGACGGCGCATGAACTCGCTATGAGGAACTCCTTTTTCGGCCATGTCCAGCCCGTCAATATTTAAAACACCAGCGGGACGTTGTTCAGCAGGAATCTTGTCCTCAGTCGCTCTCTCGGCCCAGGAGGATCCTGAAATGCGGAGAACTCCGAGTTCCCCGACTTCAAGACAGAGGTTCGGTAAATCGCTGAGAAGTGGAAGTACGTCGGGCTGAAAGCCAACAATTGGTTTTGTTTTCGGCGAGTTCAGAGTACAATGCGTTGTCACGTACCTGGTCATGGAAGACCTTGGTGGGGTGGAGGTCATCAATTTCCTGCGCAAAATCTATATCCTCTTCATTTGTGGATTTCGATGAAATCCGTACGAACACCCAGAACGATCGTTCATCGGCAAGTTGTAGACAGAATGCCAGGATCACGGTGTTGCTCGAGGAAGATAACAGGGCACAAAATGGTTCGTCCCGCTCATGTTTAAACCACGAGACTATGTCTTCTGCGCTATTCGCCATGAAAACCAGCTTGCCATAGATTTCTACCCGTATATGCACGTCCACAGCTTCAATTTGTTGTGCTATCTTTGTGCAGGTGACCAGTTTCACTGGAGAGAAGGTTGCAGGTAATCCGATGATTCTGAACGCATCCGAAATCTTGCAGGGAGGGCGCAAGAGCGACGCGAGCCAAAAGGTCAGAAAATGTGCAAAATGAGTGGGATGAACGGCAACTTCGGATCTCTTGCAAAAAATCCTGATGAACTTTGCAAAACCGAAGTACGAATTTTTCTTCAGCCAACTTGCGCCAGACGTTATTGTTAAAGGCTCATTGAGCCCAATTTGTGCACAGTCAGGGTCAATGAAATATCCATAATCTTCAGTGATCAGAATCCTGTCCTCTTTTAAGCAGTCAATGCAACCGTTCGAAGTGCTCAAAAAGGAGGTGGCTGCACGGTGCATTTCCACAGTAACGGTGCTAAGTGACCCTAGGATGAATACTCAGTGGTAATAGTGATATCTCGGTTTTCAACATACATAAACCAAGTCCTCTAGAACCAAGTGGCGCATACCAACCGTTGTAGCGAGCCTCCTCCTCCCCCGAGTATTCATGATTATCATGAGGAATGTATTCAGTGATCCGTTCGATATAATGACCGAGTAACGTATGAGGACTGCGGAAACTATTGTGCAGCAAGACAGCAAGGAATGACGCTGTATACCGATGCCTGACCGCAATCAAATATTTAATATAGGGACAAGTGGATTGGACCGACCTTCCACGCAACCATTGCCACATACGATCTAGTAAAGTCTGCCCTGTGACTGAACTAGCAAATTCAGTAGGCATGAATTTGGAGACATAGCGACGATGCTCCTCTGGATCATCGAAGGACCCGGTGTCTGAACACCAGCGAAAATCATCCCACTCGCCGACAGATGACTGGAAGTGTTCTTCGGGAATGATGGTACCAGAAACAACAAATCTAACAGGCAAGTGACCCATTCGTTGGCGGAGGCTGCGTATAATCTCCTTCAAGATTGGATAGTGACCGTATTGGTCTTCGAACGCCTCCTCGTGCTTTCGTGACGCTACGTTTGCTTCGTCTAATACGATGTAAAAAAAATCGTCGATAGATACTTCCCATATGTTTTGTATCTCGTCCAAACAATGCATAATGGCTTCGTCTAAATCCTTGTCATTCAAACGGGCATCAGCTATTGCGGACTTCAGCATGCCAAACGAGTCGAAGGTAGTCGATATATCTCTTGGGAAAATTTGTGATTCCAACCAGCGTTGCCGCTGTTCGAGACAGAAACCTTCCTTGGAACAGATTTCTAGATACATCTTGAATAGAATCAGCCGAGCTAGGAGGACCTCACTAATTGCACGATATGTCAGCCGTAGATTGGTTTGAAGGGATGAGGTGTAATTGGCACTGGAACTGGATGGTAGGCGAGGGGTCCAGCTACTATCCCAACTTATTTCGTTCACGACAGAAGGAAGATCCCCTGCTCCAAGAAAGAAAGTATCAACGGCACATGTCAAATAAAAGCCCCAGTGTAAGCATAGTCCTTCGAAAAGCAACTTGGTTTTGCCTGTACCCGAGGTATTCACAAGAAACCTATTGATTATGTGGTCAATTGCTTGATTTATAGACGTGAAGAAACGCCCTTTACGTGTGGTTCGAAGGGGAAAATATTCGGTCCAGTCTTTTCCTGAGTAGTATATCGTGTTTGAAATTACCCAACTGATGAAGAATAATCAAAGGTATTTCTTCATTCAAGCTCCCTAATGGAATATGCAAGCTTTCAATGTGGTCCGTGGTCTTTGCACTGGCTTCATGCTTCGAGATCCAAAAAGGACGCTTCCATTCGCCCCTGATTATAGGTGCCATCTGGCCATTAGAAGAAATTTTGTGGATCAATTCGTTCATCTTCCGTAAATGGGGATGAAACCGCCACGCATTTTGTGTAACATAAACTGCCGGTGAATCGTGAAAAATTCAATTTCGTCGTACAAGGTTTGGAAAACGCACCACAGATACTATCCAGAGCCTCCGAATCCTGCGATCTATGTGCCTCCCGGAGCTTCTCGTGCAGGGTGGAGTCTTCCGACAAAATCGTGGCACAAACTTCTAACGAGAGTTTCTCGCGCGTATAGGAATGAAGATATCGGGAAGCAAGGTCTATTCCTTCGATGTCGGGAAATTCTTGGAGAGCTTCCTGCTGAGAGCCTGTGAGAGCACACATAGAGGTCCATTTCAACGTATTAATTTATTAACATCATTAGACGTGGCGCGTAGCACGTGCTAACTGGCGCTGTTTGGGCGCTATTTCGGACAAACAATGCTTCGACGCTACATCGATGTCGTCGAAGTCCTGAAGAACGGCAACTGAGCAGAGACGGAAAAGCCCGAGTATTTAAAAGTTTGAAGAGTGTGAAGAAAGCGGAACAACTAGGGAAATCATTCGGTTTGTTTCTTCCATGTTCCAAAGTTCCATGTTCCAAAGTTCCATGCATTCCCGAAACTCGATGTCCTTTCCTCTTCCAACTAGTATACATGTGTAAAGTAATCTTTGTGTATCTCCCAGCATCGACCGTCTCTCTACTCTTGGGGACTGACAAGTGTCGCTCTTCTGGCATAAGCAGGCAAATACAGGTGATACCAGCAAAAGAGAACATAAAACCTTCATACGACGATGTCCTCTGCATCGTTGAATTACCCAACCCACTGGGAACATGAAGGGACGGATGATAGTTTTCCCGAAGAATCGGGGAGGAAAGTTTTGATAGCAACGTACCCTGGAACCTTGAGATAAGCCATCTGCGATTGAACACAAGGATTTGTACAAGATTGACATTCACAGCAATCGTTAAGAACAAAATAAACCAAACTCTGCGACGAACTCCTGTACCGCCTTCTCTCCAATCTCGCTATGCGTTCGAGGACCCCAACGCCATTCGTACTTATTCTCCCCATCCTCGCCATCTAGATTGCCACCAGCTGTAGAAAGGCGCCCGCGTTTACCGCCAGCGGCCTTGGCAGGTTTACCGGCTTCTCCGGAGACGACGCGGTTGATGTACCCTTGCCTAATGAGCAATTGCAGATACGCTTCTATCGTGAAGGTCGCAGTGCCCCCGGTTCCAGACGAGTGATCATGCGCACTACGACCTAGAGGGACACTAGCCCCCATAGGTAAATGTAATTGCCTTAACGCTCCTCGTGGCTCACGGTCGCTTATGAGCCGTCCAGAAGTGAGAATGAGGGAGAGAATGATATTCTGTATGCCGAACGCTGCGACGTTCTCGAGTGCAGGTAATGTAGGGGAAGAGAAGGATAGGAGGGTTCCAGTGCAAGTCGGAGGAGATAAACTTGTAGACTGCGAGCGACGAGGACGACGGCTGCCTTGGATTTGAGATGGTGCAGGAGTACCATCGTCGTCTAGTTCGTCAGACGCATCATCTAACTCGGCTGTAAGGATTTCCTCATCGGGAAGGGCCGCAAGGGAGATCAGTGTTGAATGAAGAATCGAGCAAAGTATATAGGTCTTGCTGCCAGTAGGAGGTGCTGATACATGAACCTTCAGCTTCCGTCTGATAAATCAAGTTCGAGTTAACCTTTCTTTTTGATCCGGTAGCTTTCCCCTCCGTTACCCTGGGTGGCAGGAGGCGCTCCGTCGTCTTCCTCTGATTCTTCATTCAAAGCGGATGGATTGGCAGCGGCAGCGGCTTTGTCCATCGCAGCCCGAGTTCGACAAGCTCCATACCAAACGTATGATTGAGGATGGATTGTGCTCGTTCGAAGACGCGATTGAAAGAACGAGAAGCACGAGAAGACGGACCGAAGACTGTTGATAAAGGATACATTAGGAAAATTCAAAATCTCAGGATTTATATTCCAGCACGCGTCGTTCTGGAACGTAAAGGCATAAAGTAGCTCTATGGTAACAGATAAGTTCCTGCGCATTGGCGCTCACCTTTCCTAGAAATTTCATCTCTTCTCAGCGGCATCCGTTTATGCTCCATAAAAAGGGCCAGCCGAACAAGTTGATTTGCCTTCAAGTTGATATCAACACCTTCTTGACTTGCACCACCTCCGCCTCCTTCGACATCTATCTCTTCGTCGTATGCACCATCGGCATCGGCATCGGCATTACCATCATTCTCCTCTTCTGAGTCGACGCGTTGAGCGCGTGTACCACGCTTTGGTTGCGTTTGACTTGAACCTTGAGACGCCCGACCATATTTAACAGTGTTCGTTTTCTGAGAGCGCGTTTGTGTTGACGAGCTGCCTCGGGCCATGGTATTCCCTTCGCGCGCGAATATTAAATTCAATTTAATTGTTCCAGAAGACCTGGTGATAACTAGAAGATTTAAACGGTATCTTCAACTCTACTCAGTCAGTATGTCACCATGGTCAAGTAAATCGAACTCACCGAATGTGATTGCTACTTCGCTGGTCTTAAACTGCTCGACGTTGTAGTGGCAATGAGAATCAATTCTCCGTGGGAATAGCCGAGCAGTCACAAGTAGGACCGTGTCCCGTGAGGTGACAGATCGTGACTTTATGGTCCGACTCATGATTACTTGTGTTGCCCATGTTGCCAGGATACTTCATTGACGTTGTACTTTACCAGTTGCTCTTCTTCCATGATGTTGCATGTGTTACACTCAAAGAACAAAAGTATCCAGGAGTAAGTATACTATCTCATTCATCGTTTAATTGTACCATGTTCCATATGAATACATGACCTTGTTCTTCTTAGAAGCTTAGCGACGGTATATATTGAATCTAGTCGATACTTAAGCTCAGTCTGTGGGGAATGTTAGTGGAGCAACAGTTATCCTCTCCATACCACTGGCAGACGGTTGTGTCTCTTATAATTCCTGATATCCAGCGCCATCTAATTTCTGGTCGGTCCATATCGATGCTTCCCATGTAGATTTCCATACTGATTATGACGGATTAGACCAGCCCGCCAACATTTCTACTATGGAACAACCAACGAACACCATGCATGCTGGTATGATATGGAAATTGTCGATGGGATTTCCGCTCTCTGCTGACCGCCGATTCTAGGAAGTCAGTGCTTCAATGTGAGTGGGCTCGCACAATCGCTCAATAGCCATGACAAGGAAAGTGAGTCAAATATCTCGGCTAGCCTGGTTCTATATACTCAGTGTACTACGTCGATGTTCTTTCTCATACATAGTCAATCGCCAAGTGATGATTGCCACAATCAAAGCCGAAATGTATAGCTACCTGCAAAAGTATCGGTCTGGAATGATCGATTTGGCGACCAATGCTATAACCACAGAGCCTTGGAAGCCAAATGTGCTGGTTTCGGAGAGAACAATAAAAGCCATAACACAGCTCAACATTCCTCGAGCTTGTGCTCCCTATAGTCATCTTCCCGACATGCTATCACATCGGTTAGGTCGATTTCAGGACGACGCCAAGCTGAAGCAGCGGATGCACGAGTTATTTGGTTCAGAGACTCATAAGTGGGTTGAAATTTCTTTTTCTGCGCTCACACTCGATCCCGACTGAACTCTACGCCTTAAAGAATCTTTGTGAACACGTCCGGTGCTGGTAAAACCAGACTCGTGCTAGAGCATTTGTGCTCCAACTGGGGCTTATATCTCACCTGCCAGGATGATTCACGTATCGGTTCGAAAGACCTGTCTATCGCCATCTCCAACATCAAAGCCAGCCGCTTATTTAAGAAAAGTCTTCCCCCTTCTATCCAACTCCTTGTCAGTACCCAAGATAGACCAGAACATGCTAAACAATCAGCCGGCCGCGCCTTGCGAGACAGGATGGAGGATTTCGAATCCACGCCTGAAGGTCACACATTTGGCAGGGCTCTTGAAACAAACAATGGACTCGTTGCATGCGAGCTGTTCGCCACGTTACTGGCTCGTTTACATATTTTGCATCAATTTCTGGCAACCTTAGTTGAAATTGGAGAAGATATTACCCAACCGATGCACATACAAAACTGGTTGCGAATTCAACTTCACCCTGACCTCTTGTTGCCTCAGAATGAATCAGGGGATATGTTCGCTCAGTTCAGAAATCATATCGCTAAGATGCTTGGTCACTTCCAAGAATTAAAGGACTCCGAGGAGATTCTGTCGGAGTTGTTACAAGATATTCTGGCAGAGATCCGGTCAATACTTCATTTCAATCTGATAATTGTGTTGGATGAGTGTCAGTTTGCCGCACGCGAACTGAGGAATTCTTTTCGCTCAGATGATTGGATCACAAAACGACCACTTCTTCGCCAGATAGCGAAATGCTTGAATGACATATTTCTCGAGTCAGGCGTTCACGGTTCTCGGGCCACCTTCATTTTCACAGGAACGGGTCTATCCAAAGTTGACATCACCGATGCGCTTTCGTCGATCGTTGCAAAAGCGCCACCTTGTGATGACGTGAATGATACTGGAGCATTCGACGACATCGACACACTGCGAAACTACATTGAAGGGTATCTTCCTCAACATGTGTTGCAGAGCGACCAGTTTCCACGGCTTTTGGAAAGGATCTTCCGCTGGCTTCGAGGAAGGTAAATCATGGCTGATCCGATTTGAATGATTATTCTAAAACTTGCGTAAAGGCACAGATTCACCGCAGAATATATATCTGTTGTGTTGCAGAATGGATACAAACATCTGGACAAGCTTCTCAACGCCTACATCTATAACTTGACTGGCTTCGAACCCACAGATTATAGCGGGGAAGAGGTCATTTCAAGATTGATCACCTTTCCAACTCGGGCATTCATTTTCGAAACGGTTAGTGATACGATGAAAGAAAGGATTAAATCATTATGCTACGACTACCTCTTGAGATCAAGACTAGAAGGCTGGCTAGGTGACGACGAGGACGATTACATAGCATACGGTTTTGCAAGAGTCAAATTTTCTGGAGAACTAAAACGCATCAGAATTGACGAGCCCCTTGTTTTGATTGCCTGTGCGATGTGGTTGAACGGTAGTCCTGGGGTGATGGGCGCGCACTCCCTATACAAATATGTGGCCAATCGCATTCAGGATCACAATCCCTCTACCGGTCGAAATGGTTTCGAAGAATTTATTTGCTTTTATCTTCAGCGGGTCTTTCAGACACCTCGAAGATTGGGCCAAGTTTTTGATTTCCTGGATAAAAAGAGTGCGCTGGCACAGAAGCGAGCGACTTTGGTTACTCTTCACATTGATAAAGTCGGAACAAAGCGTAAACTCGTGGAAGGAACAACTGACATTCAAAACATCGGCGAAGCCAAACTTCCAGGAGCGCTCGGCTTAGGAATTGAGTCACTAGACGAAAGTGTCTCTTTGACCGACTGGGTGAAGTTGAAGAGCCATACAGCATTCTGTTTTCCAATGAATGAAATGGGACCCGACATTATGTGCTTCCTCAAGCTACAGGGCGACAAGGAAAATCCAGAAGACTTCACTTATATATGTCTCGCAGTTCAGTGCAAGTTTTATCAAGTAGATGGCGAACTTGAACCTTCTACGCTCAAGGACGCAATTGCTACAGTCACTCCAAGAAAGTTCTTTGCACCACGACACGTACGTCTAACTTTTCATAAATTTATCATAAGATTAGTAGCAGAAAAAATTAACTCCAGCTTGTTGCACAGGTCAAAGATGAAAAGAAAGCAGAAGGGCGGGAAGAAAAACGAAGAGGATTACGCAGGTGTATCTTGCGCGCCTTGAAAAGGTTACCACACAGGGACCCACTGGCTGGCAAATATGGCGTGATACGTATCATTTGTGGCTTCCCTGTGAAGGTCAATCTCGAGACGGCATTCTACAAGCACAAAAAACAGGGTAAGACACCAAAGTACACACAGGATCCTGATGAAGAAGATCATCACCCTTTGGGTCAGTTGAATGCAGACCTCTTGAGTACAGAGACTGCGCATCTACACCCTACGAACCTTCTTAAGGTAATAAAGGGGCGAGCGCGAAAAGAGAAGAAAAAGGGGAAAAGCTTTTGGGACACCTTTGACCCGGCTATTTTGTGGTCAGACTCCGAAGATTCGGAAGATGAGTTGCCAACGAAGACTGGACGACGGAAAACTGGACGACGAAAAACTGCAGACCCGGCGGAGCCCATCGAGTTTGGCAGTCAAGCGCGCATGGTCATTGAGATGTTGGACTCAGACTATTCACGAAGTCGGGGCTTGGACTTGCCTTCAAGACCAAAGCGTAAGCGCGAAGAGATGGATCTGGATGAGCTCGATATTGAGAGAAATGAGGACGAGGGATATGAGGAAGATTATATGGAGATCGAGGAGGATAGCAATGATTACGAGGATGATTACGAGGATGACGACGATAATGATTACAATAGTGACTGAGGAAAATTTCGGAGTTTCTTCACTAGCTTCGCTTGCTGTACGGGAGTATAACAGTAGTATAACGCGTTATAGAATTGCAGGGACAGGTTAGATTGTTCGGAATTCGCCTGCCGGTCAAAATAATTTCCATATCTAGAAGCTTATTGTACGCCCTGCTTAGTAAGTAATCCAACTTGAAATCAGACATGAATATCTTCGAATCTTTCCCGGAAGTCGAAGACGCTACTCTTGGTTCGAAATTCTTGCATGCTTATTTGAACAAAGCTCCTAAGGGACTATTCGAACCCTCCGTGGAACTATGCGCGGCAGGTCTGACGGTAGATCCTGCTCTTCATAGCACACTCAGGTCTGCCCATCGAACACGCGATCTGGATGCGCTCGAGCGTCTCCGCAGTGCGTCTTTTGCAGTCCTAATTCAAATTCAAGTTCTCTAATTTCTTTCATAGCTCATCTGGAGTGGAACTCCTGGCGGTATCATCCTCAATTCTCCGAGATGAACGAAGTGATACTCGCCACAGAGTCTGCTGGGAAGATAGAAGAGATGGCCGTCAAAGAGTTAGAACGGCCCATTTGGATGCCTCGGAAGCCGAATACCAACTCTCAGGTGGCTGAATTCATTCGAAATCTTCGAATACCCTTAGGGAGCTACAAGGATGTCCCTCTTGTGATTCTTGTTAAGCTTGGTAGCTTTCAGCATGACCAATTACTCAAAAAGAGATTGGATAGTATTTTCTCTCCTTTAAACCATACGTGAGTTTACATGATAACTCGAAACTCATGGGCTGACGCTACTTGTTTCTGCAGTTTTCTGGTCAATACCTCGGGCACCGGGAAAACCAGACTTCTCTTTGAAGGCCTTTGTCTTCATTGGGGCTTTTATATCACATGTACCCTTGACAGCTCGCTGCTGGGAGCAGGGGACTTTCCGCATATTGTCAACAATGTCAATCGCAACTCCAGATGGAACCCCGTTTTGCCCCCCATTTCCGACCCTGAACATGCTTCTGCTCTTCAAGGCAACGTACATCTCGTTTACCGCGCCTGCAGTGAGGCCCTATTGGCCAGGCTGCTCGTCTTCAAAATGTACTTGAAAGCATGTTCAAAAGTGGGTTTTTCACATGATCAACGAAGACGTTGGTTAGAGTCTCAAATTTTTCCATTCGACCTCACTTCTGATTTCGATCCTTTCGGCAAGATAAGATATTCAATTCACTGTCTCTGTCTCTCTGATTCAATCCTCGATGAAGCCATCTCTTGTACTCTGAAAGACATCCAAAGCATCTGGGACCTGCCACCTGGGGAATATATCTATATCACTCTGGACGAGGCGAATGCGGCTTCAAAAAAGCATCGGAGGGCCTTTTCAGATGAGTATGGCCGTTATCCCATTCTCAAGGAAATGCTGCGTGCTTTGCGGCGCCGTATGGGCCATCTTCCTGTGAAATTCGTCGTCGCCGGTACCATGATTCCACCCGAACATTTCCAGTCTGCTACGGGAGAGTGGGATGACTTTCGCTGGTGTTCGGATACTGGGTCTTTTGACGATCCAGAGGAACACCGGCGGTATGTTTCCCAATTTCTACCTTCAGAGTTTGTAAGTTCAATGACGGGACAAGCTCTTTTGGATCGCTCATGGCGGTGGCTGCGTGGAAGGTTATTCCATTCCTCTGTACTCTTCATGTCTTGCTAACGAAAGGTTAAGGCATCGCTATACTGCATCTTATATCACAGTGCTACTGGACAGTAGTTTCGAAAGTCCTCACACACTACTGGGAAACTACATTGAGAAGATCTCCAACTACATCCCTCACGACAATTCTGAATACACACATGGAGAAGTGGTTCGTTTCAATCGATGGTATACCTCGATTGGTGACAGCGGGTTAAAGGAAGGTATGCGTGGAAGGGTTATCGCTTACTTTCTTGCTAATTTATAATGCTACAGGATGGATCAGCACTATCGAGATGCACCGAGCAATCATCAGCTTTCTGGTCACTTCGAAAGGATGCATTGACTGTTCAACCAAGGAGAGAGCTCTTGTCAGTGAAGACTACGGTTACTTCATCGACTCAGATTGCTCTAGAATAGTCTTGGATGAGCCCTTAACGATAATGTACGGTGCGGGTTGGTTCAAGCAGACTAAAATGGTTTACACAATTACGACCTTCGATACCTTTCGTTTTCAACATGGTATAGATATACGTGCTTCTCATTTTGCTTTTTTCCTTGCCTTGTCATTTGCATCAATGTTTGATGGTTTATCGGAGGTCTCAGACGCATTCACAATATCTGGAATATCTATGCCTTTTCCAAAGGCGAAACTCGTCACGTTCACTAATATTGGACCTCGACTAGAAGCAAGGGATGCACACTTCACAGATCATACGCCCGACCGACTCGTATTGTTGGCAACCACAATGGAAGATGCGCTGTGTTGGTTCAAACATGAGCGTGATGAACCATTTTGTGTTCTGCAGGATTCCTCGAGCACAAGCGTTACATTGGTCTTTTGTCTTCAATTCTCTGATGCGCGGACCGCTTGGGTCTCCGTTCGTGTACCTTCGACTTTTCAGAACGCCGAAGATCAGGACTTTGCTCGCGACATACAAGATCTTCACCCAAGCGCGATCTTCCGTGATCAGGTAAGGAAAACTATCCAACCTCAGATTTCTCGACATAACTTCCCTCGCAGTTCGATATGGTTTCGCTCCTCGACCAAATACCGGATATCTGTCTCGATGTAGGGCCATCTGGGATGTTGCGTATTTCTGGATCGTTCTGGGTTGAAAAAGCCAATGAAGAGAGCATTCCACATGAACTCTACCCCGCTGGTATTTTGAACGTAGAAGCATTGAACGAGGCTGCAAAAAACATTTCTCAAGACATGCTCTTGCGCCGTCTATCTCGTATTTTCTCTCAAGGGAATGACGCAAAGGTCGCGCCTCCGGTGTCGTCTGTTGAAGCTCCACAAAAGCAAACTCAAAAACGAAGTAGATCCGCGACGATTGGCGAGGACACTGATCCAGCGACTTCCAAGACATCCCAACCCAAAACCAAAAAACACGCAAAAAGCGATCTTGTTCCTGCTTCAGGATCTAGTAGAGCCCGTAAAAATGCGGATAGACATCCGCGATCCCATCGCAGAAAAAGCAAAATTAGCGACGTTGCTACGGGACGTGCTTCAGCTGGTGTTCCTCGCTCCGATCGAGTTGGACCTACTGCCACATCCTCTTCATACAATTTGCGCAAGCGGTGAGCTGTGTTTCGAAGCGTTGTATCGTCGCTGATGCTGTGTAACATTTCATGCAATTTATGAGACATTCTTTACATGCACATCGATGATACTTATGTGATGATTTTTCCGTCTCTTTCGCGCTCCAAATTCCTGAACTTTGCTCTGAACCCAGACTCTATGGTAGATAGATAGATTATGTAAAAGTAAAAATTGCAGGGGGATAATGATACAAAATGAGGCTCAAATACGCTATTTCGGACAAAGTTTAGGTGTAGATTCTGGGAGCCTGTAAAAATTGCGAGCAGCCGATTTTAAAGCTACATTATGGTCCAGTTTGAAAGGTTGGGTGGGCCTCAGCCATTCTCAACAGGCACTACCTCTGGCGTGCGAGGATTATGAGCGGAGCCCACAACATCAAGAAACTTTTATTGTCTAACTATCATCATGGCCGCAGACTCTGGGACCCTGTAAGTTTTCCGCTCTCGTATTTCTTATTGATCTCAACCATGTCTTAAGGGACCCACCAAGTATTGTTTCGGCTTCGAAAAACCCTCCGTTAGAAATTCTTACCCTTCGTGATGGTGGCTTCCCCATTTCGCATCGTGATGCGCTTGCATGGGCAAATCGTGTCCGAGCTGCCAATGGCCTGCGCCTTCTCACTGATGCGCCGCATGATTCAGGATCTATTATGGGGACATTGAATTATGTAGTTGAAGCAGCCGGTGGTGTCAAATGTAATCCTCATGGCCGTATCGAAGCTGGCAAACCATATGAGAAATACAATATTATTACACAGTACGAAGTGGGAGAATGGGTATCCGTAAATGGGGTTGTGGAGCCCAGTGCTTACCTGGTTGAAGGGGAAACTGAAACAATTGGCAAGGAATTGTTGAGACGAGAAGGTGAGTTATCTATGAATTCAGCATACAGCATTCATCTGGATTGCTTTGATAGGTATTGCTCATGAACCATTTACATCATGTTCTACCTATTATTGAATCCAATTGTCTCTTTCGCGGGTCTCTCGAATGAAATTAACTATCGTCGGGTGTCACTTACATAGTACCCCGTGCTGGTATCATCTCCTCTGTCTGCTTTACACCTGCTTCCTTTGGAAAACCAGAATTTTATTCTCTTTCATCCTCATCTTGCCCTTTTCTGCTGAACATTGGAGCTTGAGCGTGTCAAGAATCAATACCATCGATCTGAAAGTCGAGCCCTAATTCATGTTCATCTTTCGAACAAAATATTTATGTCGACGTCGCGAAGTTTGAATTGTTATATATCGATTATGAGGGGGATACGGGGATACGACGGTTTGCCTGAAGAACTGGGGTACAACCACGCACCCTAGATCTCTGAGATAAGTCATTCCTAATTGAACAGAAGAATACATATATGAGAAAAGTAACGTACAAGCACACCGATCGTTCAAAAGAACAAAAAAAGCATACACAAACCCATGTTTTCTCATCATTTCAAATCAACAATGTTCCCTCCGGAAGCCTTCTCAATCCCGTCCATCATCTTCTTCAACTTCGCGGCATTGTCCTGCGCTCTATTGCTTCCCCCAGACCTTCTACCTCCTCTACTGCCACTTCCATCCTGATCATCCTCATTACTACCGATACCCACCATGAACTCTGCGACGAACTCCTGTACCGCCTTCTCTCCAATCTCGCTATGCGCTCGAGGACCCCAACGCCATTCGTATTTATTCTCCCCATCCTCGCCATCTAGATTGCCACCAGCTGTAGAAAGGCGCCCGCGTTTACCGCCAGCGGCCTTGGCAGGTTTACCAGCTTCTCCGGAGACGACGCGGTCGATGTACCCTTGCCTAATGAGCAATTGCAGATACGCTTCTATCGTGAAGGTCGCACTGCCCCCGGTTCCAGACGAGTGATTATGCGCACTACGACCTAGAGGGACACTAGCCCCCATAGGTAAATGTAATTGCCTTAACGCTCCTCGTAGCTCACGGTCGCTTATGAGCCGTCCAGAAGTGAGAATGAGGGAGAGAATGACATTCTGTATGCCGAGCGCTGCGACGTTCTCGAGTGCAGGTAATGTAGGGGAAGAGAAGGATAGGAGGGTTCCAGTGCAAGTCGGAGGAGATAAACTTGTAGACTGCGAGCGACGAGGACGACGGCTGCCTTGGATTTGAGATGGTGTAGGAGTACCATCGTCGTCTAGTTCGTCAGACGCATCATCTAACTCGGCTGTAAGGATTTCCTCATCGGGAAGGGCCGCAAGGGAGATCAGTGTTGAATGAAGAATCGAGCGAAGTATATAGGTCTTGCTGCCAGTAGGAGGTGCTGATACATGAACCTTCAGCTTCCGTCTGAAAGATCAAGTTTGAATTAACCTTTCTTTTTCAATCCGGTAGCTTTCCCTCTCCGTTTACCCTGGGTGGCAGGAGGCGCTCCGTCGTCTTCCTCTGATTCTTCATTCAAAGCGGATGGATCGGTAGCGGCAGCGGTTTTATCCATCGCAGCCCGAGATTGAAGTTCGACAAGCTCCATACCAAAAGTATGATTGAGGATGGATTGTGCTCGTTCGAAGACGCGATTGAAAGAACGAGAAGCACGAGAAGACGGACCGAAGACTGTTGACAAAGGATACATTAGGAAAATTCAAAATCTCAGGATTTATATTCCAGCACGCGTCGTTCTGGAACGTAAAGGCATAAAGTAGCTCTATGGTAAGAGATAAGTTCCGGCGCATTGGCGCTCACCTTTCCTAGAAATTTCATCTCTTCTCAGCGGCATCCGTTTATGCTCCATAAAGAGGGCCAGCCGAACAAGTTGATTTGCCTTCAAGTTGATATCAACACCTTCTTGACTTGCACCACCTCCGCCTCCTTCGACATCTATCTCTTCGTCGTATGCACCATCGGCATCGGCATTACCATCATTCTCCTCTTCTGAGTCGACGCGTTGAGCGCGTGTACCACGCTTTGTTTGACTTGAACCTTGAGACGCCCGACCATATTTAACAGTGTTCGTTTTCTGAGAGCGCGTTTGTGTTGACGAGCTGCCTCGGGCCATGGTATACTCTTTGCGCGCGAATAAGAGATTAAATTCAATTTAATTGTTCCAGAAGACCTGGTGATAACTAGAAGATTTAAACGGTATCTTCAACTCTACTCAATCAATATGTCACCATGGTCAAGTAAATCGAACTCACCGAATGTGATTGCTACTTCGCTGGTCTTAAACTTCTCGACGTAGTGGTGGCAATGAGAATCAATTTTCCGTGGGAATAGCCGAGCAGTCACAAGTAGGACCGTGTCCCGTGAGGTGACAGATCGTGACTTTATGGTCCGACTCAACTTGCCTCGAATTTGTATCATCAGACTACGATCTTGAAAAACGTAGCTCTTCCATGGAATAGTCCGATATTCTCCTTGTACCAAGGCTCATTGTGGGCCAATATGACTCTGGTGCGGGGTAACTGCCAAAATTCGTTAACGAGCTTGCCTCGTTTTTGTGTGAAAGAGAAAGGAAGGAATCTAATGGGCACTCCAACCAACCAATCTAATACACAATATGCGAGTTCACTGCTATCAAATTTATTTAATAGCAAGGGGTAGCGTTGGCAAAGGTTCCGCAAAGCTTTGAGAGCTAAGTACGAAGCTTCGATCAATCAATTTGAATCGTTCTAAGGATTCGATATATTCCTTTGATTAAGGTAGATTCAGCACGATTTGTGCTTTTGGTTGTATTGATTTGGGTATATCAAGAATTGGGGGTTTGAATCAAAGTAAATTAAAACCGAAACACACAGACCCCTACGGAGGGCTAGAACTATGTGCTGGCACAACCACACAGTGTGATTTGCCCTTAAGACCAACGACTGATCCTAAGTTCGAAGAATACCCAAAAACTGGATATACTTCTCGCAGTCACAAGGAGCAGAACACAACATTCCTATACTCACAAGTGCCGGGCCCGAATGGCTGCTAGCGAAGAGGTTTCAGTCTGGCGGGAGTGTGTCTTTCCTTTTTACGGATTAGCACTGCAACGTCGTCCCAAAATCACTTGTATTCCAGATACATCGGATCACTATTTATACATACAGAATATAGAGTCGCACAGTACAATTAATTTAATACAATAAACGTTCGGAACCGCCAGGAAACTTCTACACTCGGTCAGATACCATTTAATTTGAATCTTCATGTCCTTATTTGGCCCATATTGGTTCCAAGATTCTAGTATACCTCCAAACATAGGTAGGTACTTCGATATTCATTTAATTTAATTGTTTTTGGAGGATGACTCGAATGGTGTTCAACTGTCATTGCTGTTCAACACTTACTTCAATCGTTTGTCACCTCGTCCGGAGGCAAATCAGCTCTCCTCGATTCTAATCCTATCAATCTGATTCATCTGGATTAAACTAATTGCTTCTCTCTTTCAATAGACACCCATTGTGCCTATACTCTATCAAGGGAGTTACACATAGTATTCATTTAATTGTATTCTTCAATATTTTCTACATCAGGACTCTTTGACATTCATTTGATATGCCTTCGGAGCCTCGCAGTCTTTTGATCGTTCTTCTAGTCATTTCCCTCAACCATGCAACTTGATTGGTCTATTAGACTAAATCGCAGTCTTTTAGGTTAATGCATGATCTCGTTCTAGAAGGAGTATTTGATAATTCCTGAGTTCTAGAAAGTCATTTCGAGTCAATCCTTGGTTCATGGTCACTTGAGTAAGTTCTTCCAAACTCCTGCCAGTGTAAGGTCCAATAAGAATACCCTTGGTATGTCATATGTGAATGGTCATCCTTCGGATGTAGTCCAAGTCTGGTATAATCCTGCTTGACAAACAGGTAGACTGCTATCCGTAGGTAGTATCGGGGATGGGTAAACTGACCAACTTGTGGTAGTATGGGTATATGGTCCCTTCAACTTATTAGACTGATTCAGTATTGACTTTGATTGTCAATCTGGGTCTCAATTACAGTCCTCTTGATACAAATCTATACGTGAAAATGTCACAATTCACAGCATAGACGTCTAGCCAAAATTTAGGCGTGTCATCCCCCCCTGACAAGACCGTGCCTACAGGTCAATAGCTATAGAGGTTCTGAGGCCGGATCTGGCCCGGGAATGGCCCGGAGCTGAGTATTGGCCTGTAGTACACACTGGGAGTGGGACGTCGGTGAAGCTATTAGCAACACCCTTCACACACTGTTGTGTCCCCGGGAATATAATGGCAAGAGTGCAAGATTGGGATGAGCAGCCTAAATGGGGTTCCTGATGATCCGGGAGTCCGGAAGCAAAGGGTAAAGAAGATATTAAAGACTGGGATAAGAGGGTACACTTGATTTCAAGCTTGACTACAACGTACAAAGTATTCTAGCTTATATACATCCCAGATACAGTCAGAAGACCTCGATGAAAGCTCGGAATAATAAATAAATAGAATGTAGGTCACAAGGTTATTAATCCGAAGTCCGGCCGCTCCGGGCCGGGCCGGGAAGCGTATTGGGTGAATTGCATGCATATGACACCCCCAAACTAAAGAATTTGACCGTCCTTGGTCATTCGTAGTTTTGTATAGGGAAAGGATACCCAATCTGTTTTTAGATTGATTTGACAAGACTATATCTCCTTTTAATGTAATTCACTGGGTTTGGATCTCTACTTCTCCGTGCTCTCCAATCAATTTGGATGCCCTCAAATGGGTTTCTAGCGCTCATCTATCAATTTATTCACACGCCTGCTACGAATCGTAGCAGTTTAGCGCTCAATTTGAATTGGATACTTTTTCGGTATTCGTATCACATTTCAAAATTTTCATTCACAATCTTTTTATCATCTAATCACAGAACGAGCTTCCATTTCACGGAGAACTGCTCTGACGTACACACTGATTCAGTGTGTACATTTATTTGGTTCGGGGCACGGGGTTCAACCAATTTTCGTTGAAGTCCGTTTTCTTTCTTTTTCTTCCTTCATCTCCTTCTTATTAATTCAAAATGGCCTCAACCTCGAGTCAAACTCGGGCTATAGCTTCGACCACGCTTCTTCCTACCTCCCTTATGGAGGCCCAAGTAATTCTGGCGGGTCTCTCATTCAAATCAACACTCCCTTTGTTCTTCGAGAGCGCTGTTTTTGTTCGTCTTCAACAGGGAGATTACTCCCCCCCTATGCTCGATTCTCAGAATTCTCCGGATTTCGATGGATCTACTACCTTTCCAGCTTTTTCGTATCCTCGTCCTCTGGTTCCCTTCTGCTTCCCTTCTAACACTTCGCGTCCTCTATCTGTTGCCTCAGGCTTGGACTTATATTGTTCAGCCCAAATGGCCGTGCGGACATTACAAAGTGGGGATGAGGATTCCATTGAAACCGATCCGATGGAGTTATATCATTTATTTGAGGAAGCCGCCCCGTATCTGGTGCGTATTCCACTTCTCATTGCTTTTATTTATTTTAATTGTTCTTATTAGCTTTATATTCATGAATTCTGGATGGGAAGGGCGAATTGCCCTTTGTTCGCAGAACAAATCCTTCTAGCTGCCGAGTTCTTATCTGCCCGTCTCCCTGCATTTCTTCGCGATAGCTTATTACAGCAGTGGGGAATTCCCCCTGAACATCGGTCTTCTTCTACGGTAAGTCTTTCCTGCTTCTGAAGCAATCCTTTTATTCATTTTAATTCGATTTGTAGGATGCTCCTGTCCTTGAACACTTCCCCACTATTCCAATTCCTTTCTGTCTTCGATTCCGCGAAGGGAGCGCCATGATGCGTCTGGCGCCTTCCAAAGAACTGGATGTCTTTGCCTCGTTACGCAGTAAAGGCTCTCCTGGAGCTTCAAAGGCAGTTTCGCCTCCCAAGGTTTCCGATGTCATCTCTCCTCCCCCTGTCACTAAAGCACAAGCTGTGCCCCCTAGGGCACTTCAAAGGAATCGGGAGATCGAAAGCCTCAAGGCTGACGCTTCCTCATTTCGTGAGTATTAATTTAATTTCTTGGTTTCATTTTATTTATTCATTTCATCTTTGTTTTGATTTAGTTGCTTCTCCCCGTTCCACCCATTCAAAAGACTCCGATAATGAGCTTTTGAGTGGTTTCCCTTTGGTAGACGCAGCTCCTCGAGCTTCTTCATCTGCCAAAGTCTCTGTAGGCCGAAAGGAGCCTAAATCCAAAACTACCGTCAAGGTAGTTGAAGATCCTAAGGCTGATCATCCCCCTCTTGCTGGTATGGCTTACAAAAGGGTTCAACTCCCTCCTCGTTCGAGGAAAAATACTTCGATCGCCTCAAAAGGAAAAGCGCGACAAATTGTTGTCACTGATGAGGACTCGACTTCCAATGAAGTTGAGTCTGAAGATGAGGATGAGGATGAGGATACTGCTCCTCCTCCAAAACGCCTCAAAACGACATCTTCCATCTCTGGTAAAATTTTTATTCTTCATTTTTCGTCTCATTTTATTAATTCAATTCGATTGTAGCTTCACTGCCTCATCGTCCAGTTAAACGGGTGACCGTCCCCAAACGAGTATCCAAGGCTGCAGCGAAGCCCGTTCCCGAGCGTTCCCCAGAGAGTACCTTCCAACCGGTACTATTGGCGGATGCTCAAGGACGCCTACGACTTCCAGAGCAGTCAACTGGTGCCTTCACACCTTTTCCAAAGTTTGCACATGCCAGGGTAAGTCACAGTGATTCAACTTAATTTAGTTAATACTAATTCTATTAATTTAATAGAATAGCGCTCCCTTGAATCGCGAGAATCCCCTCCTTGCCATCAATCCTGACTTCGTCAAGCTGGGCTCCATCTTGGAGACCCAAAATGCTCGTTTTACTATGCAGGATCTAATGCAGGTGAACCGGGTGATTCGCGATGTAGGTTTTTATCTGACGTTTTAATTAACTTAATTGCTAACATGTTTCAATTTATGTAACCTTCCCTCCCAAGTCAGGCTTGCATTTCGGCGCTTGCTCGAGGGGACTTGGAAGCCAATTCGGCTCCATTGCCAGGATACAAATGCCAAGCTTGCTCCTCTCGGAGCCTAAAGTGCTTAGGG